TTTATATTTAAACACTGTAGCTATATAGCTATAATGCGAATGATTATCTTTACACACCAAAATTTATGAAATGATAAATAGCTGAAATAGAGTTAAAATCCATAATTAATTTGGTTTATCCCATGTAGATTCATCAGAGAGCAAGTTAGCCAAGCCAGTCAGGGATAAGAGGCTAACATCTGTTGCAGAAGATACAACTCAGGCTTGTGAGAGACCCAGAGAAGAATTGAGAGATGGCATGTACCACAAAGGTAATCAGTAATTTCTCAAAACTGGGGTCACTTACAACATTGCATCAGATTGACTATTTATGATAGGAAACACATAGTAACATTTTTGTTAGGAAGGCTTTCATGTATGTTGGTCTATGTCAATGGAATGCAATCACTTCCTTAATGTACCTCTACTAAGCCAAGATATCAGAAATATTACATTCAGCATGAGTTGAAACAGTTATTTGATATTTGAATTTGTTTAAACAGCAAGCAATAAGAAGTATGGTGAAAGTTATATTTTACAATATTTTACAGTATTTAATAATTAGCTATTATTAATTTATTTGGCACCTGCCATAGGTGTGGTAGCAAGCAGATTAACAGCTTTACCAGTCAAGGATGAACGACTATCGTCCATTGTTTTTAGAGATCAGCTTTCTAATCAGTTTAGACGAGAGTCTTTCCATAATGATCACAGTGGAGGTATTTACTACATACAATTATATCAACAATGCAATTGATGCAAGTTCATAGACTTGAAAGCTCTGTGTAGCTCAGCAGAAGCCAAAACTTATTTAATTCTGGAACTCGACCCACTTGGTTTACCCTTTCTGAGAGGATCCAAAGAATCTAAGTTTGCTGCTTTTGACCAGTTGATTTTATTTACTTGGTTGGAATGTTGTTACATGTAGTAGTAAAAACCCCTCACACCCTAACATCAGTATGCATTTTCTCCTTACTGTTTTCTCTAAATTTCCTTTGGTACTGACCAGGAGAATTAGTTTAAAAATCAAAAGGTTTCTGTGGTGGTGATTATTTTCGTAATTTTTGTGACCGTAATGGTTGATTCAGGGAGATATTGGGTCAATATTGTTTGTGAGGCTTGTCTAGCAATGAGCATGCAGCAGCAAGTCATGAGAACTTAGCTTTTTAATGTTCCTTGTTCCTTGAAGGTAGGGACATCCCACCGTTTCAAGAAAGTGGTCAGACTCAAGGTGATTCCACAGCTAATGGTAAATGCTACATGTAGTAATCACCATGTTACTTTAGTTTAAATTGATTTTGTGGTCAATTGACTCATTAATTTGGGGCAGGCATGCACTACTTGTAGCCAAACTGACTGATACACCAGTCAGTGCGGTCTTCTTAGTGGTAATTCCGTCAACAGTCTTTTAGATTGGTGGAATCAGTGTGAAATCTCATGTTATTTGCATACACAGCGAAGCGTTACAGTTCTTCTCCATTGCTTGTCATCTTGAAAGTTAGCAAGTGGAGAGGTTTCTTATTTATGTTTCAGCCATTTCCAGTGGATCATGGCCTCTGTGTTTGTTAACTTCAATTTAGTCATGCTTTTTCAGTCTCAGTTGTTCGAGGTTAAATCTGTAAATGTTCTGATTTTAATGTTTGATTCATTTTCATAATCTGTGCAATCACATACCATCTGCATAGAGCCTGAAATTCTTTTCCATTCTGAGTGTAATCCTAAAAAAAATTGCATGAAACATGTACAAAAGTTAAAATTTTTTTGTTTTCATAATTTTCCCCTAGATCATGACCTTTCTGTGATTACAAAACATCTCAGAGCTGAGTACAACAGAAGATCTCTTCTAAAACCGCTTCTTTGGGAGAACACCTTTAAGCTACCTCTTGATGATGTTTACACAAAATTGTCAGTAGTGTCGAGACGAATAACAGACTTTAGATTGGAAGATAGAACAGTGAACATGTTTGACATCTTTAAAACTCTCAACAAAGGTGACGATTCTATGGTGCTCGTAGAGGGAAGCCCTGGAATTGGAAAGACAACTTTTTGTCTTAAAATTTCTCATGACTGGGCTAACCAAAAAATCCCAAGTGAATCTGCTTTTCCAGTTTTCAAACTTTTGTTGCTGCTGAAATGTCGAGACATTTGTGGAGATGTAATAGATGCCATTGTTGATCAGCTACTCCCTATGGAGGGAAAGGTCAAGGAAAAGCTGGTAGATTACATCAAAGATGTTCACAACCAGGAAAACATTTTGGTGATTTTAGATGGCCTTGATGAGCTTCCGGAAGCAGGTGAAAGTCACGTGGATAAGTTACTTAGAAGAAGAATGTTACCACTTTGCTATGTTTTGGCCACATCTCGTCAAGAAAAAGGAATTGAAGTGCGACAGAAGGTTGACTTTGACGTTCTTCTGCAAATTGAAGGGTTCACGGAAGTAGACTCCTTTGAGTACATCAGAAAACACTTTAGTCACTTAGGTCTTGATCATGTAGCAAAGGGAGAAAGGCTTATTCAGTCCATCCGGGAAAATACCTTCCTACATGCACTCCCGAGCAATCCATTGAATCTGCTTCTTCTCTGTGTTGTTTTTGAGGATTATGAAGGGAATCTACCATCTTCTCGAACCGAACTTTATCACATTATTGTTGGTTGCCTTTTGCGAAGGTATTGTGCCAAAAACAATGTAAAAGCCGCTGCTGATGACAAAGCTCTAGAGGAACAATTTAAAGATAGTTTACTAGCATTGGGGCAGTTAGCGTGGAGGTGTCTACAAAACGACCGGTTTTCGTTTCGAGAAGAAGAGTTGGCAGAATTTGAAAGAAGAAAGAAACCTTTGGCAGCTCGTAAACTTGGTTTGGTATTTAAAGAGGCCAGTGCGAAGAAGATTAACCCTCAGCACGAATATCACTTTTTCCACAAGACTTTTCAAGAGTACTTGGCGGCATTATATCTGGCACACAAGCTACTGGAAGAGAAGGTTAATGTCTTTCATGATTTGAAGTTGAGCTTTGCTGACATCACAAGAAAATACAACCAAGTGTTTATCTTTGTGTCTGGCATACTGGGTGAGGCTACTTGTAATCTGTTTAGACAGATTGGCGAGAATCTTAAGGTTGAATGCTGGAACTGGCTAAATTGTACTGAGCAAGAGGCGACTTTCTTCACTGAGTGTTTCAGTGAAAGCGGAGAAGCAGAACAAATGGCAATGACTCTTTGTTCCTTTATCCCGTTTCCACAGTCAGTAACCTGTAGGCATCGGAAATGAATCATTTGAAGGTGTTCTAAGAGTTGCAAATGCTTGCAAGAGCTTCTCACAATTACAATTGCCTGTTCATCTTACTGTATATTTTGATGGCCTACTGGATCTTTCCTCTGTTGACGAGTTTCTAACCTCTTACTCCAGGCTAGAAACTATTGTCTTTTCTTCTGAAGGTTTTACAGAACAAATAACTGGCCTTATGTATAACGCACTTCAAGTGAACTCATCTTTACATTCCTTTACTCTTCAAACAAATCGTTGCTTTTCCCCTGAGAAGGCTGCTTCTATTGGTGACAATTTAGCCGCAAACAAAACACTTCAAACCGTGACTTTAAAACTGCCGGGTGAGTTAGGTGAGCATTGGGCCACTGTTCTTGAAAAAGGATTGTCTGGAGATACACCGCTGACATCTGTTGTGCTGGAGATCAGTGGCTCAGTAAGGAAAAGTGATATGGTGGCTTTGAACAATTTGTTATTGAACAGATCGCTTCAATCTTTTGGCCTCACTATTTATGGAGACATGCACGATTCATTGGCGACTTCTGTCGCCGAAGGCCTTGCAGCTAATCCGTACTTAAAATCCCTCACATTGACTGTATGTGGAAGCGTCAGCTGCTCTGCTTTCATTTCGTTGAAAAAGGGTGTTGTAGAAAATAGTACTTTAAGGTCACTGGTCTTAAAAGTGTTCGGAGGACTCCCCGAGAATTGGATAAACATTTGTGAAGCTCTCTATGTTGCTAAAAAGTCATCTCTGTCTCTTACAATTGAGCCGGATGTAGTCAGCAAAATAACAACTTCGCAGGTGGCCTGTCTTCGTCCTCTTCTACTTGAAGAAAAACTTGGCGTGTTGAAACTTCACTCACTTACTGTAAAGATGTGGGGAGAGTTGAGTTGCACTGGAGCAAGTGATTTATGCAAACTCCTGATAGCCTCAAGAGTTTCCTGCGTTAATTTGAGTATCCATGGAAGAGTAACAGATGGTGTTGCTACCTGTTTGGTTAAGAACTTTGACAAAGTTAAGTCACTGTCCAACTTGAGTATCAACATTAGGGGAGAGGTGACAAGAGACGGAGAGAGCACTCTTGAAGCCCTAACATGCAATCAAAAATTTTCGTCTACTTTAAATGTCCATGACGTAAGGACAGTGGACGAAATATGCGAAGAAGTTGAGTTATCTGTAGTCGATTCTTCGTCATTAACATCAGCATTTACAAACGTCGAGACTATCTGCTCACGTGTAAGTAAAGTGAGTATGAACTTTGATAGCCCCATTTACTCAAGTGAGGAGGACTGGGGACGAAGTGTTAGTGACTTTTTGGCGAAATTCGTGTCACTTACTACATTACACCTCTCATTCAACAACTGCAGTGGCATGAGTGAAGGCTGGATGGGTGGTCTTTGGAGTGGTTTGGCACAAAACACGTCGATAACCACGCTGAGTATTACAGTCGACAACCACAGTTACATGAGTGGAGACTGGATAGGCGAACTGGGAAGTAGTTTGGCACAAAACACGTCGATAACCACGCTGAGTATTACAGTCAACAACTACAGTTACATGAGTGGAGACTGGATGGGCGAATTGGGAAGTGGTTTGGCACAAAACACGTCGATAACCACGCTGAGTATTACAGTCAACAACTACAGTTACATGAGTGGAGACTGGATGGGCGAATTGGGAAGTGGTTTGGCACAAAACACGTCGATAACCACGCTGAGTATTACAGTCAACAACTACAGTTGACATGAGTGGGACTGGATGGGTAGTTTGGCACAAAACACGTCGATAACCACGCTGAGTATTACAGTCAACAGCTACAGTTACATGAGTGGAGACTGGATGTGCGGATTGGGAAGTGGTTTGGCACAAAACACGTCGATAACCACGCTGAGTATTACAGTCAACAACTACAGTAACATGAGTGGAGACTGGATGGGCGAACTGGGAAGTGGTTTGGCACACAACACGTCGATAACCACGCTGAGTATTACAGTCAACAGCTACAGTTACATGAGTGGAGACTGGATGGGCGAACTGGGAAGTGGTTTGGCACAAAACACGTCGATAACCACGCTGAGTATTACAGTCAACAGCTACAGTTACATGAGTGGAGACTGGATGGGCGAACTGGGAAGTGGTTTGGCACAAAACACGTCGATAACCACGCTGAGTATTACAGTCAACAGCTACAGTTACATGAGTGGAGACTGGATGGGCGAACTGGGAAGTAGTTTGGCACACAGCACGTCGATAACCACGCTGAGTATTACATTCAACAACTACAGTAACATGAGTGGAGACTGGATGGGCGAACTGGGAAGTGGTTTGGCACAAAACACGTCGATAACCACGCTGAGTATTACAGTCAACAACCACAGTGACATGCATGGAGACTGGATGCGTAATCTGAGGAGTGTTGTGGCACAGATCACGTCACTTGCCATATTAAACCTTACACTAAACAACCACACTAATTCATACGAAGACTGGATAAACAAATTGTGTCAAGCTTCGTCAAGGATCACATCGTCGATCAAAACTTTTCTTGAAGTTAACTTGTTTAGTGAGAGCAATGAAAAACCCTAAATGAGCGTGGCTTAGCGAAAAGCACATCTTTTGAACATTCTCAACACCGACTGAGTATCCTAACATGAGGTTGTGGTTGCACTTGTACATTCAGCGATTATAATTACAGAAGACTGGAAACCTGACCTGGAACAACGCGTCAGTGTCTACATTCAACAGCTACGTTGACGGGGGTGGAGACTGTGTCTGATTCTAAATTTCTCGTGGAGGAAAAAGCGCTGCAAGCCTTGTGACAGGAGGCGAGCCACTGGTTGGATGTAGTTTAAGAACTTGGCTAAGAAGTCAACGGGAGGGACTTGTTTCAATTGAACTGGACCAAACTGCAGTGCAGCAGAGGAGGACTTGTGTGTTACATCCTGGCAAGTAAGGACTTGGAATCTTCTGCGGTTAGTGACCGCAATGACGTAAGCGCAGTCCTTGACAGGATTTGATGTTAGAAGACGCTTGACAGAGGGTAAGTCATTTAGATTCTTAAGAGTAAATACCCTTTACACCATAACATCAGTATGCATATTCTCCCTAATGTTCTCTCTACATTTCCTGAAGCACTGACCGGGAGAATTTGTTAAACATCAAGAGCTTTATAAGTTGGTGATCATTTCCTTGATTCTCGTGACTTTCATGTTTGATTCAGGGGTGATATTGTAAGGAGAAATTAGAAGCTGGTCACTCTAAGGGGTTAAAGGCTTACGCATGATGGGAGAGGCTATGCTGTGCCAAAACTAGAATTTTGAAAGCCTGGACCAATTTTTAATTTAAGTTTGGCTTAAAGTGGGAGTTATTTTCTTCAATCATCAAACTGAATTAGCTTTCATTTACGACAAGTACCACTATTTGCTCATGGAGCCAGGTTTTAAGTTGAGGTTTTTCGAAATCAGAAGGGTTAGTAGCGCTACGGTAATTTAGACTACTGTTTACAGTGCGGAATGAAATGATTTGCGAACGGTAACTTTTAGCTTGGTTGGTATTATCTCTCCTATTCGCAGTTTACACGGGGTGCTTTGATGATGCTAATCCTAGCAGTATGCAAGGTTCTTGTCACATTTGAACCCTCCATACACCTTAGCTTACCAATTAGTTATCTGCAGCCTAGTGGTAGAGCATCCGAGCGCGAAATCCGCAGGTCAGGGGTTCGACTCTTCCAATTCGTCTCAGGCTCATTTCAAAACGAAAACAAAATTCTTTATTTTTTACTGATTTTCTTTCTGCTTTTTTTTCAGCCTTCACATCCCAACTGCCCAGCTGTCAGCGTGATGAAGGATTAAATGGTGTTGAAGTATCAGAGAGCGTCTTAAACAGGAACAAGCCTAGTGAAGGATTCTTTCGTACCAACTGATTGGAAGGAACAGTGTTTCAGACACATGAGCAAATCTTCCTCGTGATAGCATTGTGATTGCCGCATTTAAAGTTGAATCATGGATGAAGAAAATACTCGACTACTGTTTAAAATTTTCTATTATTTAACCAGGTATTAAGTAAAGTGGAAATTTTCTGTGGAAATATCATGTCAGTCTTTCATAAGGTGACGCGCAGTCAGTCTACCTGATTGCGATTGACATTGGAAGTGACCTCATCGTGAGTCAAGCGATAGCACTTCACTACCACGATTAGATTACAACAGCCTTTTTGACGACATGTAATATTGTAGGGACAATTTTAAAATTTCTCTTCAATTGATGTAGTGAAAGGTGATTTAGTCGTAGAGCTAAGCGGCGGAAGTTCAAGATTATGTCAGAGCAAAGCGCTGGTGTCATTTTTACTTCACACTTTTGTCTTAAAGCAGAAAGATGTTCTGAGAATTATTCAGCTTGCAACAATGTCCGCGCAATGCTTAAATTAAGTGAGTTATGCCTCAAAATGTTGGCGGCGTCGTATAATAAAAATTGAAATCGACGGATTTAGAGTCGAAAGATTTAGAACGTTTCCATTTTGTTTCCTTTGTCACTTTGACTCAAACACTTCTGATCCAATGGAAACTGAATTGTCGGAGTCGTAAGCAAAAGTGGACGAGCCAACCAATCACAGTGCCAGTTCTCAGGCCATCTAATCACTTATGACTTCGATAATCTATTTTTAGTTAGATCATAAGTAACCGAGTCCTAAGCGCCGTACGTTACTTCACTTTCCTGCGGTTTGATTTTCAGTAGATGGTATTTAACTCTCTGCTCTTTTAATTTTGTATTCAACTGCATCGTCGGCATAAGAGGAAACCACTCGTTAGTTAAAACAGCTAATTGCAAGCCGGCCAGACGGTTTGTTATAAAGAGAACTGCATTACTAGTCAGAACTGCTTAGCTGGAGCAGTGAATCCTACGATCGTCTGCGGTACAAACATTTCTTGAGATTTTGTAGAGGTTGAAGAAACTCCCAGAAAAACTTATCTAATTTTATGCTTGTCGGACAGTTTTGACTAATTTTACCCAGCTTCGAAGTACTCCTCGCGTGTTGAGCCCTCCTGAAAAGAAAATATAGGAAGCAGACGCCATCAAATGATGTCTCGCAGGGAAAAAGTATACCAGCTGATTGCTAGGTGCTAGGTTGAGGCTGAAGCTGATACTTGTGTGCGAGAGTATGAAGACATAATCAAAGACCTTATATGTTACAAGAGAACTTTTGTTATTAGCCGAGCCGTATAGTTGATTCGTCGCAAAATTCTTTTGACTCTGATCTCATAGATACTAAAAGGGGAGGCAAGAATGCCCTAAAGAAAAAAAACCCTATAAGAAAAGTTTAAGTTATTGCACCGACTTGCCATGGTGGATTAAGTTAGCATGTGGACAAATCCTCTTTGACTCCACGTAATGATCAGGGCTATCTCGTATAAGGAGTTTCGCTCATGCATCGATTGTTATTTGTGGTTTTGTACTAATAGATGTATATTTATCGTCAAAGGTTGCAAACCACAACCCCTCTCCCATTTCCCTCTTCCTGATTTTCTCGGTCATCATCGTTTATTCCCGACTTATCCTTTATTTTGCATTCCTTGTATTATTCCCGATGTCCATTCCTGGTAGTCGATTCCAGATTTTCTTTTCTGATTCTCCATTCCCTTTACTCCCGACCCGCTGTTCCCATGTTATGTGTTCCTTCTAAGGTGGATGTGTCTCCTTGACCTTTTCTTTGATCGGTCAATTTAATTGTATCTGAAATGGAGAAGGCAGATCTTCGAATGGGACGTAAGAGAAACCTTTCCCGCCAAAAAGACTTAGAAGTTCCAGAGGATCCTACAATCCCAGAATGCACTTGCTCCCAGAATTCCCTACGAGCGGCTGGGGTTACTTATGATCGTGAGTGCGCCATTGATCTACCAAGAATCCAGTTTAGTAAGCGAGCAGACTAGAACTGCTACGTATTCCGCCTTTGACGGGCGCCTCTAGTCAAAATGACTGCACAAGAACAAATGAAAAAGATGCTGGACGAACTTATGGGAACCCAGAGGGACGGTGAGTAGAAAATTGGTCGTTTGAAAGTGAAACTGTGTAAATTGATAAGTCTTCCTTTCGTTTAATTTGGAAATTTAGCACGCTTGTGTTTTTACTAGCTCTTCTTCTGATTTGGTTATTTTACTGACTAAATAGAGAACTCTGTTGTGATGTCGACGCTAGCTCAGTCAAGAGGAGTGAGTTTTTCCTTTCATGTATTTTTATCTATGCGAATTTTCTTAGTTCCACGTTCTCATATGAAAGATTTCAACCTGTCTCTGAGACAAGAAGTTTTTTAGAGTTTAACATTCACTTTTTTTGCAATGCATCGCCGGTGCCTTTTCTTTAAATTATTTCACGAGTGGCTTAATCTGTAACATCATGCTTTAAGAAACGCGTGTCTCCAAGAAGGGTTTTCTCGTAGGTTTTTTCAAGATCCAGAGAGTAATAAGCAGCAGCCGCCTGATTGTATGTTGTCATTTTACTATTGGTTTAAACACGACGTTATGGAAATGTCACAGTTGTTAAACACTGTGGTGTAGGAAATTTATGTGCATGTTAGAAACCTTCTGTTCTTGAACAGCTGTTCAAAAGGAAAGTTCTAGAAACAGAATTACTAATATTTTGTTTTGCCACATCAGATATCAAAATTATTTGGAACTCTTTTTAAGTAAATCCAACTTTGTGTTCTAGCTTTTGAGGAAAATTTTCCTGTCTATTGTTCCACTTTGAACACTTTTATAGATTGGTGTTATTTAGATGTTGGGAATGTTTGCAATGTCAGTGGGCTTTCACCACAAATGTTTAGCACCTTGAGCAACTACCATAAGGTCCCTTATGAATTGATTGCCAAACAACTTTGAGTTATGATGCATCAATGGGAAGGAACTTGGCGTTACAGTGTGTTTAACCACTCTGTGTTGTTATCTGAAACAGTAACAGTGAATAATGAAATTTTAGTGTGTTGTGCAGTGGCACATCTTGTTCACAGTTTAAGTGTGTTTGTGTGTTATAACTACCCATGTTGTGTGAAAGCAGTTCCCCATTAATACTAGATATTGAATGCTTTCTCAAACAAGGCTTACTGATAGCCATGTACATGTAGTGTGAGCAAGTCATTGGATGCGTAAGTAGGGTGACGTAAGTAGGGACAGAAAATTTCCATTTTATTAATTTATGGTGCTGGGAGTTATACAGTTAACATAACTATAGGATATTACACATGAATTTTTTAAGAATCAATCCATGGAACTGGATGTGCATGGAATAAAAATTTTCAGAAATATTTGTACCCTTGATAAACCCATAATCCATTCAGTGCTGACTACAACAGTGATAACAAAGACTCACTTTGAAATTTTTTTTTTGGATGGGGGGTGAAAGAGAAGTGAAAAACTCTTCAATGTGTAGGACTTAGTGCACACCTTGTATTTTGACTTCTGAAGAAACAGCCCTTTTTCAGTATATGGGCATCTAGCCTACATGTATGTGTACATCTTGCACTGAGTATTTGTGCCTCGTTTTAGATCAGTTTACCTTTGACCACCCAAAGTTTGTTTTGTGTCCTGGTATTCTTAATCCTCTAACTCCCAAGAGTACCCAAGAAAGCATTTCTCCCTTTAATAACAGTAGAATATCAAGCAGTCATGTGACAAGAATAAAGAAAATATTATTAAAGGGATTATCAGTTGTTCTTGTATCAAATTCTCCAAACTAACATCATAAGAATTGTGTGGCAAACAGTATGGAGATCTTGGAAGTGAGAGGGTTAAAGCAATGATTGGAATCATCTATTTGACCTTAGTCCTCTTCTTATGAGACATGTCTTTTATTTTACTTTATTTTGGGCATCACTTTGTCCATTTTAAACCAAGAATTACAATATTTATTCCACTTGCCTGGTATTTATGTTTTATTTTTTTTTGCCTTTGCATTCCTAAGGTGCCAGACCAGAAGATGAAGTCAAGTTCTCAGATGACCGTGTGTGTAAGAGCTACCTTATGGGACTCTGCCCTCATGAACTCTTCAACAACACAGTGAGTAGCTTGTTATGATGTTTGCATTCCACCTAAAGTAAACATCTCGCAAATTTTATTTTGTTATTAAACAACTGGCTGGAATGGTTAAATTCTCATAGATTCCACTTTGTGGTGGCTTTTTTTAACATTTCCTTTGTTTTGTTTGGTTTATTATGAGGTGTATTGTGTTACTGAGCAAAAAAAAAAAATAAATAAATAAATAATAGATTCATGGCAAACTGGGAAATTTTTGTATGAAAGGCTAAAGGTTTGTAACTTATTACAGTATGTTTTCCACAAAATTTAAATCCCTGCTCAATGTGTATAGTTTTCCTGGTTAAGGAGATAATGTCACCTTGTTAAGAAAATCATTACAGCTAAGACCACCTCACATTCAAAAATCATATGATGAAGATATTGTGAAAGGCTGTCAAAAGCTTTTCACTGGTGTAAGTTACACTCTACATGTATACATGTACATGTTGTTACAAGACAGAATTTCTCCTTACAATATCAAGCTCAAGAAGATATGTTAAAACCCTATTACTCAATACTGCAGTGTACAAGTAGGATTGTTTCTTGTAGTGGCTTCCCTGATTAAGTCTTGTTGTATCCTTTTCATGCTATTCAATGAAGAGCAGTGGATCTTCAAAACTGTAAGTTAAACTGTGCAAAAAGCCATTTCTAAGTGAACCTTCTTTAAATTTTTTTTTTCCATTAGACAACCTTGTACCATAATTTTTTTGGTTATCTAGTGTACTTAAATCTTATGGTAATTGGCATTAACTTTCAGAATACTGTATCTCTAAACTTACTTTTCATTCCAGAAAATGGATCTTGGTCCCTGTAACAGGATTACTAGATTACTAGATTGGTTATCTAGTCTTCGTGGTAATTGTAATTAACTTTCAGAATACTGTATGTTTAAACTTACTTTTCATTCCAGAAAATGGATCTTGGTCCCTGCAACAAGATTCATGAAGCTGCTCTGAAAGCAGATTTTGAGATTGCATCAAAGAAGAGGGACTATGGTTATGATGTAGATGTAAGTACTTAAATTTAACCCTTTAACTCTCAGATTGGTTACAAAAATTTGGTGTTTGATCAAGGAAATATCTTTTACTTGATGAGTTTGAGTTTTCTCACTACCTGTTTGCTGGATATTGTATGGATATTATCAGGAGTAGCTACTTGTTAATCACTTCTGGGAGTTAAGGGTTAAAGTGACATTAGCCCCCCCAAGTAAATTTCTTTGTTTTACTGATAACAAAGTAGAAAAAAAATAGATGTTGCATCTATTTTAGTTAGCTTTTTATGAATGTTCAAAGATCCCAAAAATTGGTCCCTTCCATGTTCACAACCAAGAAATAGAGGGGATAAGGTGGGTTGACTGATGACTTCATCCCAGGAACAGATTCAACATTATTCATATCATGTAGTGAAAAAGCAGTCACTATGCAGCCTTGGAAAGAACTATAAAATAATTAAATATTTCTGTTGAGCAAAGTTGGTTTTATATAAGGTGCCATTTCTCCATCACTTTGTTCTTGAGGTTTGGTTAAGCCAAATTATAGTGTAGCCCCATAATTATACAAAATAGTAGTAACCCATTAAGCCAAAAAAATTTGGATGTATGACCATACAACTGTACGACCGCACAAGGTGCTACTTTTAATATGCGTGGTGTACTATGCCACGGGCATGCCAGCGCCACAACTTTGTTCAGTAGTCCAGTGGTTAGTGCACTGGACTCCGAGGTGGACGACCTGGGTTCTAGTCCTGGCCGGGGCAAGGCATTGTGCCCTTGAGACATGTGGGGGAAAAAAATGCAAGCTCCGCCTTTAAGCTTGGCTAAATCTATATATTATTGTGTTGTGAAAGGCAACATTTTCTCTGTGTGGTGTTTTCTTTGTTTTTGAGTGACCTTTCTCTCCCAGTAAAATTAACTTCAGAGAGATATTTCTCCAAAATTTCATCTGGGTATCCTCTGTTCTTACAGCATATTTTGAAAATCTGTACATTTTTTAATACATGGAGAGTGAGAAATGTTCTTAGGAAAGGTAGGGCCTCTCCACTCACTAATCCTTTCTTTAAGCTTGGAGGATGATTTAAATAAAAATTGGTGTATTGGAGGGTCTCATTCTCTTTGTAATGTGTTTGTACATCAAGGGTCAATTCCTTATTGATTTCCTGCCTTTGCACACTTTTGTGTTTGAGAAAGTAATTTCTGAGGCAGATTTATCAGCTGTGAATTTGTTCACCTGGAAGTTGTTCATTGGATGGGTTACTGATGTGCTGCTTGTGTGACTCAATCTTTTTTTCCTTCTACCTTTGATTCTGTTTTCTTTTGCAATTTTTAATCTTTTTTTTTTTATTTGAGTTATGTTTCACCCTTGTTGTTTGTTTCTGAAGAGACAGAGAATGCACTTGTACAAGATTCAACCTCTCCATTGCCTTTTTGTGCTCTCAAATTTACTAGAAGCTTGTTGACCTCACTCACTTTAGCTTTCAATTCAATGGCTAATTTGTTTATATCACTTGCTTTTGAATGGATTATGGTGAAATTTCACCAGGGCTCCCACAAGGTCACACTCTGCTTTCTTTTTGATTGAGCTTATATATCTTATTTAAAATCCTCATTTGGGATTTTTGCCCTACATTGTATCTGAGGCTATTTGGGCATATGCCTTTTTCGATATGAGCTTGTAAGAGTCCAATAGAGTCTCAGTTGTGTCACGGATCTCTTGTCTCCATTTCATTGAGGCTTCGCTTTTGGCACACAATCCATTTCCTCCAACACATATTTTTGTGGCAACCAATTGTAGACAAATAATTTTGATTTAATTTCTGTTAGAGGAATGGTGGTAAACGTAGTCTCCTTTGCAACCATTAATTGGTCTCCTCATGCAATGCACTCTCTCTCTAATGGGAATAGAGGACATTAAGTGATGAGACCAAACAAAGGCTGTGAGTACAGTAAGCGTGGCACTGATGCATTTTATTTTTGCTCAGAAGTATTTAAACAATAGAGACAATAGACCACAAAATACCTCTGAGTTCAGATAAATTAGGTGTTTTTTCTTTCTCTTAAGGTGAAGTACCGTAATTTCCGGTCGTTTACCCGCGGGTAATCTGTTGATTTTGCATTAAACGCACGCCACTGCGGGTAATAGGGAGGTGCGGGTTATGTGACAATTTTAAAATCCACTGGTAGTTGAATTGGAAAAATATATCACCACCATGCGTTTCCACCTCTCAAGTAAATTTTATTGTGTTAATAGTGCCGCAAAGCGGCACGAAAACATGATGCCGACTCGAGTTTATTTCACACATAATTAGTTGCGCGACGAACAAATTATCGGCACGCGTGAAAACAAAACCTTGATGGTGACAAAAATTATCCATAGATATCCGGCGCATCGGTAACAAATTTCCATTTAACACTAGCTTGAGCTAAAGAGAATTTTCCCGTTTTAAGGGACTTGTTAGGCCCAATAGAACCGGAGATATCGATTTTTTCAGAAATCGCCGACAGTACTTTATAATTCAAGTTTTAATACTCACCCAGCTTTTTTTAAACAAATCAACATGGTGCTGAACGATCGCGCGCACAAAATGTGGCCACAAATTCGCATTCTGTCAAGTATGAAACGTTGAGATTTAGGCATGGGCCGCTTGTGTTTTTACTGTATAATCTTATCAATAAAGTACATGCTAATATTGACACAGAATTGTGCACGCGTCTGAATTTCTTTGACCTTTAAACTCGACAAAGACACTTTCAAGTTTTCGAAAGTTGGATCAGACAACTTTTAAAAGACTGAAATGTATCACCTTAATGTCACGTTTTCGCCAACAAAAAGTTGAATAACAACGTGCGGGTTATCCACCAGTGCGGGTAATCTGGTGACTTTTTTTTTCGCCGTATGCAATAATCGGCCGGTGCGGGTAATTGGCCGTGCGGGTAAACGACCGGAAATTACGGTAATACAATATTTTGTGATTATTTCATTATTTCTTTTTTTTCCCTCTAGCAAATGGAACACCTTCAGTCATTCATCAAGGACTGTGATAGAAAGATCCAAATAGCAAAGAAAAGGCTTGAGGAGACACAAGATGATCATGACAATGTCCCTGAGGTAAGTGTTGAAGCCACTGTCCAGGTCTAATTTCAGGTGTTTGCTAATTGCTCAGGCACTCTATAGAATGCCTGACTTCAGATTTGTGTTCAGTTTAGTCGTAAATTGGGTTCAAGTAAATTCACTTTAGTCAGTGTGGGCATGCATAAGTACAATTTTCAACACATAGACTCCAAGAAGTAGTTGTAAAGCCTATGAAAATATTGTTTGGAGGGCTTTTTCCCATGCCTTTCACATATTTTTTCAATAAGTATTGAAAAATCTCACAAAGACTGTGCCTACATTGTGCCATTAGGTGCACTTGTGTACATGCACATGCACATGCACATGCACATTTGCATGTATGTTGTTGTAAAGAAGAAGGCCACATTTATGAAATGTACATTGTCACTACTTGTTGAATCAGAGTTGGCTTCTTGTAATTCTGCTTTTAAATAAAACCTGGCTCCAGAAACTGTAAAAATCCATTTAAAAATGACCTTTTTGATTTGTCATTAACACACACAAATAAAAATGATACTTTTTCATCAATTTCTTTTGCCTTGTGAAACTTGAAACTTGAAAGAGGTACCAATCTCATGGTCTTAAAATGCAATATTCTAGTCTTCTTGATAATGATGACAAATGGTAGGCCGTCTCCCATGTCTTCTCTGTATTGGTGAGCAGGAGACAAAAAAAAAACCCTTGCACTTCTTGCAAAGAATAGGGAAGGTAGCTCCCAGTGTTGTGGTCTGGCCCTGTTGTTGTTTATGCTGAAAAATTTAGGCTATGATGAGTTTGAAAACTACACATGTACATACAGTCTTGGTAGTTTGCCTCAAGAAATTCCAGTCTTAGATGACAGGGTTTTTTTGTCCTTTATGAATTTCCTGCTGTGCACCATTTTGGAATTTGGTAGCTGCTATGATTATCAAATTATTCATTGGTATACTTATTTTTTCTCAAGATTTCTTAGAAGGGTAGAAGAAACATGAAGTGGGGTCCAGTTGCAAAAAAAAAATTCACTTGATCCAAATTTGAGGCCCTGAGAAAGTTTTGAAATAGGCTGAAATCTGTTTCTTATCTTTGAAATATTTGATGCTCAGTTCTCATATTAAAATAAAAACTTTTCTTATTTAAAATGGATTGAATTGTTCTACCACTGCTAAGGAGGTTGTATAAAGATTTTTGAGTGTATTGGTGTACCTAGCTTTGTGCTAGTCTTAAACATTCTCAAACTGGTTTTGATTTGCAAGGAGAAAAAACTGAATGAAGTGAGTGAAGTCCACTTTGTGGTGGTATTAACATGAATTTTAGTGCAATTTGGTGTCAATAAGCACAAGGAAAATTTTTCAAAGACAACAAAACTGTATGAGTTAATAAGATGTGTGCAATTTGTAGTCTTTGAGAAATTCAAGAGAGATGACAAGAAAGTTAAGACAGAGGAAATGTTGACAGCACATGCTCTATTATGTATTTGTATAATAGGTTTGGAATCATGAGTGGTGAACAAAATCAGACAGCCATGAAGTGGAAGTCCCATTTGTTAGTCCTGTGACCAGCTAATCAAAATTATGACAAAATTAGAGAAGCAAACCAGATATTGGTTATTCATCTTCACAACACAATATGGTCATATTTGTGAAATGCACCATACTATCCAGTTGCTCTGTCCAATTACAAGCATGACATGTACACAGCCATACTAGTGCTCAAATTGGGGTGGTGATGACGAATAATGTTCAAGAATTTTGTTGTAGTTTTGATTAAGGCTGAAACTGTTCTTTGCAGGTGAAATTGTCTCTAAAGTTTTGAGTCCTTTTAGCCTTTTTTGTCTGTGAGTGAACAACCAAACAGTTAGTTATTTGAACTGCTATGTAATTGTCATAAGAGAAATGTTTAAATTGCGTTGTCATGAGTATAGGTATTATTGATTTGTTTTTATAGGCCCAAGCAGTTCATGACCTGGCTGAACAGATTGGAAAAAAACTTGCAGAAGCAGAGACTGTGGGTATGTTCATCTGTTATCTAATTGTATATTGAACAAGAAATAGCATTGCCAGTTCACTAAAGAGAATTAGCACTTAGTTTTCATCTTCCCTCTTCCTTTTGATCATGGTATTCAACATTTAACCCTGTACATTCTACTATCATCATGCATATTCTCCAAAATGTTCTCCTTACATTTCTTTAAGGTTCTTACAAGGAGAGTTTGTCTAACAATCAAGAGCTTCTTGAGTTCATCACCATTTCCTTCATTCTTGCAACCTTGATGTTTGATTCAGAGGTTGTACTGTTGGAAGAAATTAGATGCTTATCACTCTTAGGGACTTAAGGGTTAAGGGAAGTTTGCTGATTTTCCTTGCATGTCATAGGGCACGATATTATTTTGAAGCTTTGGGTGTTCATTTTGGTAGGAGCTGAAGGCAAGGTTGAAGAGTCAATGGAACTCATGAAGGAGGTGGAAGACTTGAAAGTAAAGAAAAAGATGGCAGAGGTATGCTTATAAAAAGTGCTTGTCTTCGATTTCCAGGAGCTATCTACATGTAAGTTATCAGTTGGTACACATGTACAAGTTTCAAGCATAGAAACGATCCTCACAGGTGAACTGCATTTTAAGTATGTTACAAACTTTGTAACTGCAGGAAAGAAGCGTGAAATATTAAGCTTTGACAGGATTCAAAGTTTTCAAATCCATCATACCTAAATTCTTTTAGGCTTCTTTTCTGCAATCTCTTCAACTGCAGTGCACCTGAGAGAATCACTTCTTTGCTTGATTTTCATCCGCAGGTCAAATGGAATTTATTTCATTACAGAAAAAATGTATGGTGATGCACAAGGTTATATTTATGTGCCTGAGGAATGAGCAATGATAACTCTGAGGAAACTGCTTTGATACTGTTATTCATTTTTGAAATAAATGGATTCAGTTAAGTGATGGTCTCTGTTTTATTTCATTATAGGATATATATCGAGAGTCACTTCCTTCATCTTCTCTTCAGCAACAAAAGCTGAGGGTTTGTGAGGTGTGTGCCGCATACCTCAGCTTGTATGACAATGACCGGAGGTGAGTTTAGAACTTTGGATGATGTGTAACTGAAAATTTTGCGCTTGGAATTTTATCAAAAATTTCAAGAGTTTGTGTCTTGTATCTCTAATTTTGGAAATTTTGGTAAGATGTTAAAAATGTCGAAGATGTGTCTGTACAGCTGTCCACCATAACAGTGGTCTACAGACTCGACCTAGGATCGTTTGGTCTGATCATTCATTCAGACCAGTAGTCTTAGATAGGAAGAAGTGACTGATGCTTTTGACAACCTGAGGAAAAGTTGCCATTTAAGTCAAAGGTTCTCTGTTCCCATGCAAGCCAAGTTGACCATCTAACCTGCTGGAAATTGTGTTTCATTTGACTCTGATGAGAAGGAGCTGTATAGGAGGCCAAGTGGCCGAGTGGTTAGGGTATTGGACTTGTGATCTGGTAGTCCCGTGTTCAAGTCCTCTTCCCTGCCATTTACTGGATTTATTCTTGGTCTCCCCGAGTTCAACTCGGCTGTGCTGTGTAAATAGCCAAATGGTCTGCCTCGTGCCAGTTAGGATTTTCTAGCGCTTTTTGTTTATTTCAGTCATTGTAAAGCGCTATTGGATAGCGATAGAAATAGCGCTATATAAGTAAAGTATTATTATAGTATTATTATTATTAGTATTATTTGACGGCTTAATTGCGGCTGTGGAAATGTCAACAGCAGTCCTTTTCAGGGCAAATTCCACTCTGGTGATCAGGCCACACTCTCAACTGTTGCCCCTGGAATCAAACTAGTCACTCTTAGGCTGTACATACATGTATAGTGTTAAAATTGAATAATGGTGCGTGGATTGTTTTGTTTTGTGTGGTCCTTAGTCCTGAGATTTATGATTTACTAAACTATTCTTTTGGGCTGTAGATTTTAACCGATGTCAGAGGAATTTCTTTGCTGATAAATATTTGTTGGAAATTTTTTTATTCAACCAGGTTAGCTGATCACTTTGGAGGAAAACTTCACATGGGTTTTATCAAAATCCGCGACAGGCTGAAGGAACTACAGGTATTGAAAAAGTCTCTATCTTAAGATTCACTTACTGTAAACACTCTTAAAACTAAGCTGATTTACTTAAAACCTCTCCCTATGTCACCTGAACAAGCACTTACCTAAGTGTAAGCAAAGGGTGCCACATGAACCTTGATGTAACTTCAAATTCTTTCAACGAATTTACATGGAAACGGCTATGGTAAGGTGAAGGGATAATTTCAAAGCGGATCTAGTCTAATTTAGCATTGTATCGGTTTGTTTGGTAGGATGGAGTGGCAAAAAAGCGATCTGAAAGAGAAATGGAGAGGATACGTCGACGCGAAGAAAGAGAGCGCGAGCGGGAACAAGAGAAACGCGATCGTGAAAAAAGAATGAGAGTAGAAAGAGAAAGGGATAGAGAGAGGTATGTTTTATTACTTTTAGAGCTGTTTAATTGCCAAGCACCGTGTTCACTATACTTGTTTTCTGAGATAACTCTTTTGAGTACCTGGGGGAGATTGGTGTTCCTGCGCACTTTGGCAACAGTATTTATAAAAAATTGGTGTTTGTGGTGAATTTTTTTTTTTTTTGTGGAAGCGATGAAAACATTTTCCAACAAAAAAAGGTTGACTTTGGTAGTTGATTTAGGAGGTGAAAGGATCAGTGTACATTGTTATCGTGAACGTCGTACGTACGTCGCTTTCTGAATGTCTCTTTTTTTTTGGAGTCAAATTATGTGTGGGAAAAAATGTATTGAGACTACTTCACCGTAAACTACACTTGAACAAAACCCCGTGTCAATTAGTCGAGCTGTAGAGTGGCATATTTCGATTTGATGTCGCACAAAAAAAAACTAAAAAGTCACAACAACCAACTGCAGTGTAGCAGTTTTACAGGAGCCGTTAAGAAAAAAAGAGCGGGAAAACGGGAGTGACCAGTTCAGTGTAACAACTGATTGGCCGAGAGTTTTGTGAGCATTTTTTTCCCAACCAATCACAAGGCAAAGCCGTGGCCATCCCGAGTACGTTCGACACTCAATTGAAAACCATTTACAAGGTCCATAATACCAGCATTGTTCTCTCTTTTTACTGATGTTTTGTTTTCCTTCTGTTTCCACCAGGAGCCACCGCCGCCGAAGTCGAAGTCGTAGCCGGAGTAGAGAGAGAAGGAGAAGAAGAAGGTAATTAGACAAATTTTCATGCTACTGTACTCGATGATTTTAGCACAACGTAATTATAAACTTTTCCTGACATAGTATGTGTTTCGGCTCTTTTGAGTATTCATTTCTTGGTTTAATCAGCTGAAACAAAGACAACGTTCATAAAAAAAAAACTAGACGTAGGTGCATGTGAATTTTGTTTTAAGTTTTGCCACTGACACTGTTAGGTATCTTTGAAAAGTGTTAATCTCCCTCTAAGGAGCGTAGAAAATGGAAAAGAAAGATGTTAAGGGTACAATTATCTTTCTCTTTGAGGAGGTCCCTGTGCTAAGATAGTCGTCGATGTGGGTAAATAAATTCATTTAAAAATAATCAAACGTTCTGTTTTTTAGGAGCCGTTCACGATCACGATCTCGTTCCAGGTCACGCTCACCTTCATCGAAGTCACGCAATAAGAGAAGGCAGTCATATCGCCGCTCGAAGTCACGCTCGCGATCTGGGTCTCCAAAGAGGAAATCTCCACCCACTAGATCACCCAGACAAACACCGACAAGATCTCGCTCAAGATCACAAAGCTAGGATATTAGCTACCGTTTAAACCCTCTGCATTACAAAGCAATCCCCCTGGCTGAAAAAAATGTGGAACTTAATTTATCCAGCCGTGTTTATCCTACTGGTTGTTCTACACGTAGTTGTGTTCTAGGGAATTTTTTTAAAGTCTCTTAAGTGTGACAAACTGCTACGAAAGTTAACTTTAATCGAATTCTTCTCTCCCCCCTCTCCCCCGCAAAATTATTGTGTTGTCATTTTTCTTGAAATGCCCAAACTCATCGTTAATATAGTATTCGTTACAGTTGTGTAGTCGTGGCTAGATTTTTACATCAACATGCCCAGGTATTGCATGAGTGTAACTGCCTTCAACTATGTTCAACCAAGGCATTTATTAGCGCAAAATGTAGCTGATAAGATATAATTTTAGCATTACAAGAATAAATTTATTGTCTAAAAGTTTTGGCAACTTTTAACGTTCTTCTAGAAAATATGACTAATGGTAGTGCATAAGCATGATGGACATCCCATTCGATATTCTTGGTATACAAACAGTCTTGTATTTTCAAAACAAACTCCTATTGTCGTGGTATTGTCTCTGGGCTGTATTTCCAATAACTTGGTCAGTTTCGTTCCACTTCTTTAATTGTTTCATGTGCAATTTAGATAAACTCTGTCCTCATTTATTTCCGTCGTTAGTCGATCGGGGTCAGTTGCCGGTACACTCGTGGTGAAAAATGATGACGCAAATTGTTTTGTATTCTGGTTGATCATGTATCATAAACAGGGTAAACAAAGCGACCATGGGCGAATTTTCAGTTTGCAAAGCGAGATTAATTTAGAAGGTGCTACAGAACCCAATCCTCTAGTTGATGTTTTTTCTCATTACGTTTGTTTTAAAAGGAAATGTATCGATATTGTGAGGAGAAATTCCTCTTTGGTCACCCCTCGGCGTAAAAGGGCTAATTGATAATGATCAAAGAGAAACGAATTATCGTTGTTTGGAGATTTGATAGAAAGATATTGTTTTGGATCGTTTTCTAGTATCTGTCGGACAATATATGAATCTTGTAGCATCCTTTAGAAAAGTTTAACAGTACAATGTGAAATACAACTGAGCCAACAGTGTTTCTCTCCTCTCACTCCTCACAAACCATCGATGTAACCATAGTGTGTACATCCAATAAATTATAATACCGCTGTAATGACCACCCAAGTGTCGTAGATTCAGCATGATCATTCACCTGCAGTCAGCTGGGAGACATCGATTAAAAAAAATTTTGGAGTGTTGAAGTTGATGATTTGCAGAGGACAGCTACGAAATGTAGAAAGGTTTCAAACGCACGTGCTGATTTACTGTTCTGCTCATGAGATCTGCGTTGCCACGTCCTCGGTGGCGCCGCCATCGTGAGCGAAATTCCCTCCCCAGGGGAATCTGTAAATCCTCAAGATTCTGCGTAAATGATCCAACTTTTGGCACCATCTACAAATGTACTCATAGACCGCACGGACATTAAAAACCTAGCTCCGTAAGCGCAATGCTCACAACGAACGTCGTTTTCTTCTTATTCTTCACCAAAAATCGCTCGTAATCCTGTGTTAAATATTTAAAGTAAAGTACATACACTTGACGGCTGTCATTGAATTGCAAATTTACCCGATTTAAGAGGGAAATTAATTCACTTCAATGTCATAATTTACCTCGATTTTTTTCACGTTAGCACGTGCCACTTCGCTGAAAATATTATCAAGTGACATTATTTTGCACAAACAAAGAAAAAATCACAGACTGACCCGGTTTCTGTCAGGTTTTCGTAGACATTCCCTCTCTTCCGTTTCACCTTCGGGTACGGCCACACGTAGGCTATACATTAAGAGGCTTTTATGACCAGAAGCAATGTATAACAATGTACATCATTAATGGCCTCAAACGCATTTCTGTTTGGAGACAGTATGAGATCCTCAGCGTGTATCACTCTTGATCAATATTTCTACGATACCGGTGCAGCGCTCTACCAACTGAGCTAACAAGCCAACTGGGAGCTGATCAATGTGTTGGGTTCAAATAAACTATCAAGTAATGAATGATGATTTTAGATAAATGAAATTCATATATTTGCACTGCGGTGAAGAAATGACATGGGTTCAAATCCCGTACGGGCCTAAATTTTTTTTCAGGTCCTTTTTTCAACAACTCGTTTCAGTAGTGTTCTTAGCTGCGAGGAGCTCTTCATTTCATTCCTTAGTATTTCTTGAGCAATTTAACAGGATACGCAGAGCTAGATAGCTCGGAAATCATCATTTCAATTGCTGTTCCACCGAATCGTTAGCACGTTTTGACTCCCCAACGGCATTCTGTAAAATTGATGTAGACCACCGGTTTCCTGCCCATGATGCACCGGTATGGTACTCAGGCCGTGCAATGTCTCGTGCAAGCTCATTCGTTAGAAATAGCATTTATTGGTGGTTCAAATTGACAGATACTTTTAAATTTGAAAGCGGATAGTTCGCGCAAAATGACGGACAATTCTTGTAAATGTTGCGACGCTCTGCTTGACTTCTCTACCAATGTGTATCAAAAAGTGAGAGACCTGGAGGCTAAAGAAAAAGAGGAGTACGATAAGCTTCTTGGTGATATAAAGAAAATGGAAAAATGGGAAGATTTGGAGAAAGAAACCCGAGAGAAAGTCAATGAAACAGAGGAGTTTTTTGAACAGTTCCAAAACAATGAACCAGATGGGAGCTTATTAGAGTTGATCAAAGAAAGCGCCTCGAAGCTGAACAAGGCCTTTTCAGATTTATTAGAGAGGTTTGTAAAAAATCATAGCGGATTAATCAGCCATTGCTCTCACGCGAAGATGACATTCCCTTAAAGTTCGCATGCCTCGGCGGGTTGATAATTATTAAGTTCATTGTTTCACTGAATAGCAGACATGGAACAATCTTTATCCTTTTAGAGAAGGGTCTTTTCGTGCAAAGGCCTGCAGGAAACGTCACCGAGGTATTTTCGGTGAACGAATTGAATAAAAAGACAACAGCTTGCTAGGAATTTCGCACTAAAGACGTTCTTTGAAAGAGCTTATAACCAGTCATAGCTTTTATTCATATTAGAGATGACAATAGCACTCGTACATATGAAACCAATGAGCAAATGAAAGTCCGTTTTCCTGGATGACAACGGAAATGTATTCCTCCAACCGCTCAACTTTAGTCATTTAACTCAGCTCCACAGGTTCACAATATATGTTTGTATATATATTCAAAGAAAATGTTCTAAATTTAATGCAAAGAATAACACATTAACTCTCTAATTCAAGTGTTGACACAATTTAACCTGACAGGTATAGCAGGTACTGGACTCTATATAGCCATCAGGCACTGATTAATTTTAAAGATGCCTGAAAATATTATTTGGTGAAGATGCTACTTTAGCTACGCCGCTAAGTTGAATTACAAAACATGGCAATGCAAACTGAAAATACTGAAAAAGCAAGGAAGTCAAATAATCTGGTAAACGAAAAATTCTCTGAGGCTGTATTTCAGCCATCTGGTGTTATCTACTTTTCAGCACATAAATCTTCACATTTGAAATTGCTAGCTCTGAGTTATCTTTTCCCTCTGTTATCCTTCTTCTGGTTTCATTCATCATACATCGACGTTTTCCAGATATGAAAAGCTGAAAGGTACAATGAAATGGATTCGTGCCAGAGTGGAAGACCGTCACAATTCCAGCAAGACAAGGAGAGAAAAAATTGTCACACACGCAGGAAAAGCTCTCCTGGCCGCCATTCTCCTTGGATTAATACTCGGCGGAGTTATAGGATGGGGCAGCCCGGATAGACTACCCACTGTTGTCTGGGTTTTAGTTGGAGGAGGGTCCGTACTCGTCGTTGGAGGGCTCTGTTATACAATTTTGGTGGGTGTGGCTTGCCGGAATGTTAAACGATGGGAAAACCTACGAGGGAAGGTCCAAGAACTGCCAGTTACGGATGATCTTATTGAAGAAATTGGTACAAAGTATTCGACATTGTATCCTATCCCTAAAATATTTTTAAGTGACATCGAGGGAGACGAGACAAATCCTTCTGATGTAAAGAGGGTATCTAGAGATTTAATCAACCAACTTAGATCATATAACGAAATTAAGTGCAAATGATATGTCTTTGAAGCACGCTTCAAATATGCCTCGCTCCAGGGGCCATGTAGTCATTATTTATCACTTGTGGGGGATCAGGGAAAACGGGGGGGAGGGTGGGGAGGGAGAGGAAGTCGTCATTAAGATAGTTTACAGAAGGACCTGTAAATTTTATTGTGATTCAAACAAGATCCTCGATAAACAATGACGAGTCCCCTAGAGAGGGGTTCGTTAAATTGTTACACCAAATGTCAAGAACACACTAAGTTTCTATTAGAGATTTTCTGGGTTTGGTGTGATTGAGGGTCCACGTTGGAGAAAAGTATCAGAGGCCTCTGAAGTCTATGTCAGTAGTTTGTTTTCAGTCATTACGATGTCAGTAGATTGTTTTGTTAAATGATAAAATTACAATTATAGTTAATCTACAATATCGTAAGGGTTTCCTTGTATTGGTGTCGGAAAAAAAAGGAATGGAAATATTATATTATTCTAAGTCATTTAATTCAAATTATAAAAAGGGCAGGTTGATTACTTCGTACTCCTTCTTGGTGGTCTTATCTTAAAGGTTGAGTTTAGTCACGTTCTTCTGGTGAGTTTGGCCACGTTCTCCTAGTGAGTTTAATCACGTTTTCCTCGTTGTGATCGTGAGGTTGACATGGAACTCGTAATAAGCCATGTTCTTAAGTAAGTTAATTTGTTAGTCCAGGAAGAGTAAATCTCCCTGGTAATAGGTCGCGTTCGACACCTTCTTGTTCCCAGAGGTAATTTAGGGTGTAAACAGGTGATACCCCTCATGTTCCGCAACCAAAAGCAATTTGGGGCGGTACTTGTGAGCGCCTTTCATCTTTAACTTTTTAAAGGTGATTTTCTCTTAAGATACCCTTTCAGGTATAAATAATATTCTGAGCCAAGGTTATTTGTAATTTTTATATTATCGATCTCGTTTCTGTTCTGGCCGATCTCAACCGTAAAGATATGAAAATTAAGGTAGAATTGGATTTTGTAACTGCGTAAACAACCCTAAGGTGCATACTATAATACGTAGTTAAGCGTCATTCGCTAGTTGAGATGGTACGATGACGACACAAGAAGATTGACGGCTTAGAAATGTCATCCGCAATGTCACCTTTATAAGCGTGTTAGAAGAATTTGCTTTGCTATATTCTCTGATTGAAAGATGCTGTGCACCAGCTTATTAAGGTGACACCAAAGATGACACTTCTAAGCTGTCAATCTTCTTACATCGCGATCGCTCCATTTCAGCCAGCGAATCACGTTAGAGTACGTACGACAGTTCCTGTATACTAAGTATGCACCTTCGAATTGTTTACGCAATCACAAGATCGTCTTCTACCTTAAATTTCTTAATTTTACGGTTAAGATCGGCCAGAACAAAGACAAGATTGATAATATAAAAATTATAGTTAACCTATGGGCAGAATTGAAATTACGCTTGAAAAGATAGTTTACGAGAAAATAGCCTTAGAAGATTGCTATATAACAACAGAGTAAACACAAAATTTGGAGAAGAAGGGGCGTACTTAAGGTACCGCCCCTGAGAAAACTATGTGTTATTCGCATAAGTTATATAATTACAAATTCAGTGCGGAGATGAAAAAGCATAAGCTATTTACAATCATAGTCACCTTTTTTAAAAAGAGGTGTTGAAGGTGTTAACTTAAAATTCAAGAAATATTCTGGAATCGTGAATTTGACTTTAGAATTTGACCAAAAAAACCAGTCTGATAGTAATCAATAGTATAAGAAGCAGGAGTTTCCAGGAATTCCTGTGCGAGGTTAATTTTTACCAGAGAGATTTACAACTAGAAAATTGACATAATTAAAAAACATAGCTTATCGCAAAATAGAACAACTAATCACCGATCACCGTAGAAACGGAGCAACTGTTTTCGTACCAAATTCACAACCGCAATAAGAAAAAGGTGAAAGAAATTGTACTTAGATGAGATCGACAAAAGCAATAAGAAATAATCAACCTGTCTTGTTATAATTTTTGTATCGAATGGCTCAAAGTAATATAATATTTCCATTCTTTTTCCCAACACCAATATATGGAAACCCTTACAATATTTCAGATTAAATGTAGTTCTATTTTTATCGTTTAACAAGCGGAGACTCTAGTTTTCCTTGTCAGATGAAGCTAGTCCCCGTTGTATCAATTTGTGAAGAAAGAGAAAAAAAAGAATTAACCTACCAAACGACGAGTGTTAGAAAATTTACTTCTAACAGTTTTCAGTCATTACGATTCTTAAAAAATAGGCCGTGATTGAAGAGTTATTAAAAATTTATCGACGTTGTCGTCACAAAATATCTCTTTAATTATGCATCGCTAACAGACTCTAGTCTCGTACCCAGACCTTTCACGGCCAAGCGTTTGTCCTCTACATTTCAGTTACAGTTACACGGTGCGATCTGAGTACGAGTTGATCGGACTTTTTTCAGGGTTTCTTTTCTCTTCAGTAAAGGGAACCTAGGAATTAACTGATAGTGTTACTACGTTCGTATTGGAGTGTCTCAATGGGGTGATAGCTTATACGGCTAACGGTTAAAATTTTGGCCTATTATTTACGGCAAATATTTGGTATTTTTCCAATGTGATCACCAGAAAACCTTTGGGTTCGCGAGAGCAGCTCCGGTTCACGGTCTGTTAGCACCGTTTGGGCCTATCAGCTTGAGATGATGACTGTTTCTCTCAACTTATTCTGTTCACATTTATTACACCAATCTATAAATACAATGGAATTGTAAATAAAAATGTTCCTAAAGCCCGATTCGACAATGTTTCAATAATGCATTAACGTTAAAAAGTATTCAGGAGGTTCTTGTGATATGACCTTTTTCCCTTTTACTGCCATGCCGAGAGTGCAAAAAAACCGGTTTAAATAAACCGTACTTCCATTCATTGAGAACTGAGAGCGAAAACTGAATCGTCCTCGGCATCAAGACTATAGAGATGGGAAGTGCACGTGAAAATCGTGTTACTCTGTGGATACCTCCCAGTTTCACTCTCATCGTTTCATTTTCACACACATTCGCAACTTCAATGCTCATGACACGAGTTTGCTTTTTGGAAACGACAAGCCGCTTTAAATGCCTTATCGTGACCAATAAACACTTGGATGCGAGAGAGCGTGTACTACTTGTCATTCCGAAGTCTACAAAATGGCGGGCGCGAATCAGATCCTCGATGTCCGATCGCCTATGTTTATTTGAGTGATGCATTGCGCATGCGCAAAGATTGAGGTCCACGTTTTTGTCGACGCAGCCTTTATACCTGCTATAGAAACTAAGCCGCGTGTATTTGATGAAGGTGATGTTGTGTTCTCGAACGCTGGAGTGTTTTAGCTGAACTTCGAATCGTTCCTTCGATTCCACACCATAAGCTGGTTCAACAACCAAAACCAAGGTGGTGATGTAGTCTTTGCCAAGAAGTTCCTGTCTCGGTCGCTCAATGGATTTACCAACAAACATGGCGCATCGGCCAAATCCGTTTTTGCGCTTTGATTTATTTCCAGCAAATCCTTGCGAGTATTGCATTTGTATCATGTTATTAATTTGTCCAAGAGCAAACTCTGCCAGCCAAATGACCTCCATGGAATTTGGACTCAAAAACTTTCTCCAGCCTTCACACCGACACATGCCTTCGGGGGATATATCCTTTATATCTGCGCATGTGCGAGTCAGTGGAATTGGCTGTAGTAAGCCGCTGACCTTGTCCTGCGTACGTCCATCGTCTATCAAGGCTGCAATAGAGTTAAGTGCATGATGCAAATCTCCAAATGTTACTAAACGTTTCTGATTTAACTTGAGCGCATTCATGCGATCCTTTCCAAGGCGCTGGGCAACTTTGTGAGGAATTATCATAAACATCATAGGGCTGTACACTTCTAAACTACCAGGTAAAGTCTCAATGGCGTAGTCTGACGTCTTTCCACCATGATCTGATATAAGAAGGGTCAAAGTATTATCACTCCGTGCCATTTCTTCGAGAAACTTGGACAAAATATTGTCGTCTGCTCGTATGCGTTTGCCAGAGGGTTCGTGTCCGGTGTTAAGATGCGTGTAAACTAACGCCGGTGCTACTTCTGGTTTTCGATCAACCAGTGATATGAATCGTCTCACGTAGAAAAGGAGATACTCGCTTAGAGAACGTCCATCCCAACAATAGTTCCTTGTGGATTTTCCTCCAAAAGGATTTGAAGTCCCAAATTCCTTTAATATTTCACAGGATAGCAAAGTCATGGCTTTATTATCCACATATCGATCAGTGCTTTGTTTGAATTCCTCGAAAATGCTTTTAAACCCCTCCGTGAAAGGTTTTACCTTTTTCTTGTACTCAGGTGACAAAAAGCTTCCCCATTGATCATACCAGCAAAGGTCTTCGTGCATTAACGTTTGATAACCAAAGCGTTTGAATTTTTCGGTGAGAATGCTTATACCATTCACACGCTTCGGTACTTTTCTCCTACCTTTCAGTGATTTCCCAGCCATCATGAATTGAACGTTTGGAAGAGTGAACGCTGCATAACTCTGAACGAGCTCAAAATCAAGAACCGTTGCTTGAAAACTAGCATCTCTGTAAATATCTCGCAAGGACTGGACCGAACGCGGCATGGAGCGGTAAAAATGAGATCTTGAAACCGAGTCCTCGAGAATGATGTTCACATTTATTTTCTTTTTTGAGAGCGGAGCATTCTGAATTGCGTGTTTTAAAATCGGCGGAAAGATAAGTGCTTGTTTGACCATGTGCCCGTCAATTTTGCACTGTAACAGGCAAAAATTGAAACCTTGGACGGAATTTTGTACAACAATTGCAGGTAAATCTTGTTCCAGTTCGCCTATGCTGTGGAATTTAACCCAGTCCTCCTCTTTATCGACTACTCCAAATTCTGGATCAGAACAGCCCAGAAGAATCGGCGAAGATTGGGAGCAAACATCCCTCCAACATGTGACTGACACTTTATCTTTTGGGCTGAAACGAAACTCGGTGAGGAAAGTACAGATCGGCCGACTTGCTTGCTTATCGCACTGAACTGGTTCAGAAGTTAAGTTGTATGCCCCGAAGTATTTAAAGGCTACATTGCAATCTTCATCTGTCCTCTTGTAAGGTACACAGCTTTTATTTCGAGGCGTGAATGTCAATTGTTTTGCTGGTACTAAGCCTTCATAGGAGCACGTATGAGAGTCCGACGAAGCCGACGAGGTCTGGGGCTGGTTTAAGGTCAGATCTGAGCGAGCTGTTAAGCTTTCTTCGTCAGACAAAGTGCGGAGTCTTTCCTCTAATTCAATAGCTCTGTGTTTACTGAGTGTAACTGCTGCCTCTGTCATATCGTGGGCTCCATTTATTAAGAGATGTGCAGGATATGTTTCCAGTTGCCCCATTTTATCTGCTATGAGAGACACGAAGCTAGTGTTAACAACCTTGGTCATCTCTTAGGCAATCTAAACTGATTGCTCGATGGCTCGAAGCGACCAAAAGTAGTTACTCTACTACACAGTTAGACATCCGCATTTCCCAGATCTCTCTAACAGTTAACAGTGTAAAGGCAGAATCCAAAGCACTAAACGGGGACTCCATTCTTTTCATTTAGAGTCCATCAACAAAAATTTTTTTGAAAATAATAGTAATACACTAAAAATTAGCTCGAAATGAAGGCTTTTAGTTTCAAAGACGCTTGTACGCCTCGTGTGCCTTTTTGAAAAGAGGGTAATCAGATGAGGAACTGCTTTCCCTCACAGGCATCCTTTGTTGGGCGCTATGCCACCCGTAAAGAAGCCGACAGAAACCCAAAGACTACAAAGTTACCTACCACTGGCGGACAAATCATATCTCTGACGTAGATTTATAATCGACTCCAGTCCCCACCTAGGATTTTGGACAAGAAATACCAATGATGCCGCTGCTAGACATAACAGAATGAAAAATCGCTGTTTCTGTGGGAAAGAAAAAAAAGTAGAATAATGAGCAAACCGCTACAAAAGACAAAAACAATCAAGACAACGTTTTATATTGAATACCTTCCAAACCGTTATATATCTTCTTCCCTTTTAGCCTTTACCTGAAGCCGCCTTGCTTAAGGAATGCTTCCTTATTCAGTGTAACTTATGGGCTGAGTAGACTTATCAAATTAACATGTGAGCGCTGTGGTGCTTTTACCGGCGAACGATGTTAGCAAACATGTATTCCTTTTGGCAAAAAACTGTGAATGCTAACACGTCAAAACAAAACAAGGTCTTCACCTAACCATTGCACGCCGAGTGTATCACCTTGAACAAAGACATAAACTTGGAATAAAATCATGATGACTCAAGAGAAGAGATTTGTTTCTTCCGAATTTTTTATTTTGAAATTTTGGTGGTATATTTCATTCTAGGAAACTTTCATTCATATTCTCTCCTCTTGATAGCGTATTGCTATTCAGGCATCAATTGTCTGTAATAAACTAAAGAGTAGTGTTTATAATTGATCCATTTACGTCTTAAATAGTTCTTACTATTGGTAGAAGGCTCCGCGTAAACAAACAATCCTTCATTTTCCCTCATTCAAGAAACGCCAAACAGAACTTGTACGCGATCAGCCATGTGATCGCGTAAATGGAAGGTTTCCACGAAGTCGTTGAAATCCAAAGCACGTGTTACCACGGCATTTAAAGGTTTTATCGTCTTTTCTTGTCACTTCAGAAGGCACGGTGACTCCACATACATATGTGAAAATATGTTTCAGTGTTCACTTGTCCAAGCTGCAAAGAAGACATAACTGGAGTTATTTATCGTTATTACACAGTGTAAGCAAATTATGACACTTAACAAAGATTAGGACTCCAATGAAAAAATCAGGTACCTTTAAACGCTATTTTCTCGCCGGCCGGCCGGCGAAAAGCGCGTGAGATTGATAACTTTAGCGTGTTGTAATTCGTGCAACGATCCTTTAATGATCTGTATCCCAGTGTTCTAGCAGTGAGGAATGAATCAAAGCTCCTGAGCAGAGCGACAAACTAACAGTGACATGGGTTGTAAAGCTCTATGAATAATCGCTTGATTCACAATGAACGGATCAATGAGTGCCACCTGTAGCTGCTGTTTGGTGCTTTGGTGTGCCTTTGTCTTCGAATCTAATTGCCTGTTTTCCTTAATGTTTTCGAACTTGAATCGATTGCTGAGGAATTTGGATTTGTTTCAGTCCGAACGGGCATTGATTACCGATGGATTTTTACGATCGAATTGAACAAGATGAAATTCTCTTATGGCAAGGAAACGAATTTTCTCTAATGAACGTTTTCATCGCGCACTTTTTTTCATTCAGGCAGTTGTCGACTTTGAATGAATTCGTTAATTTTATTGAATTCGTTCCACTCAAAGACATGGACTTAATTAGCCGTTCCTCAAGGTTACTCATTCCAACAAATCAGAGATTGTGGTAAAAATTCACCAAGTTTGTTTGAATCGATCGTAAGTCTTATTCGAGGCGACAAACAGTTCAGCCGGTCATCGCAAATCACGAACGAATTCACAGTGAAATTGATGAAATTTAAGCGTTGCACGTATTTAAGCGAAGCAAAAGATCAAAATATCCTGAACGAAGATACAGAACGTTAAGAGAAAAACCGCCTCGGGAGAGCTTTCGGAAAGATTTCGGAAGTCTCTCCGAAACCTTACCGGAGATGCAAATTGAAATGACCATCAATGTCTCTACAGACTAAACATGTAACATGTGGTTTTGCTCCAAGAAATCTGAAGTTTCATGACTCGCTCCGTCAATACACTTTCAGGCTTTCGAAAAACCGGAGCTCGTAAAAGTTCTGCTCCTTTCATAAATTACAGACATTTATAAGGAATAATAAGAGACTTCTGGGGCAACACGTAAAAAATAGCGTCTGAATTCACAACAGGATGAATATTACAGCCACTTGGCTTCATTTCGCTTAAGGCCGAATTCCCAATGCATGATAAAAAAACCATTCAATACCTTAAAGCTGAGTCATATTTATGGAAAGTATAATTACAGTATTTAGCTCGCCTTTGCAGCCCAAACAATTATACTTTTCAATAATTCATTTTGATTCAATCATTATAGTTTCTTCTCTTTGCCTAACACTCTTTTGTTATTTTTCCAATTTGTGAAGTTGCACCTCTTTTGACGTATTTTCATATTTTTACGATAAAACATTGCGAAAAAAAGGTTTAAAACGTCATTATCATGTCAAGATCTGAAAATACTAAGCGTACATGAAAATATAGAAAGAATTCCTTAACGGTATGAATGCGGTGGCAAAGTGAAATAATGTTAAAATACTCGTGTCAAGAAGACGAACTTATTTAACTCCAGACATGATAGAATGATGAAGTATTCGCACTTGGCGCTACAAGAAAAGTTTAGCACTATTCTGAATTGTTTATTTTAGAAGCTCTCTTAGTTAATTTGAATGAGACTCTTTAAACTCTCGAGATATTTCTTTTGGTTAGCGAATGGCTGACAATCGAAACCTCAGCTTTAGAAATACTTTACGGTGGCTAATTTACATCATCAAATCACTTTTGGGTTTGGTTGCTTAGCAGTTTGTCGCAAAGAGATTTCTGCGCTTTATGAGCCGGTCTCAATGGGCGACGACTTTTATGGCTAACTTACGGTTAATGGTTAACATCTTTCCATTGCTGTCACCAAAAATGTTTTTTACGGTTAAATTTTTTTTACGACAAACGGTTAAAATTTACCAATTTTCATGCCTAACATTTACAATTATTGCCCGTTTACGGCTTACAGTGGACCCCATTGAGTCCCTCCCTTGTGAATAAAAGTTTGGCCCCATCCCTCTCCTCTCCTGGATCCACCGCAGCTCTCACAACAAAAGACCATAGGAAAAAAAACACAAACAAAACAAAACAAAACTATAATCAACAAAACTTCCTCAAAGGCTAGTTGTTTTTGTTATTGTTAAAACATAGCAGCTGCAAAAGAACTAGAACACATATATGAACTTGTCATGCGCACGTTTAAGTCCTTTAAGGATGAGCCTTGGGTACGCCCTTTCTTCTTCGAATTTTCAGTTTATTCTGTTGTTATGTAACAGTCCTCGAAGGCTATTTTCTCTTAGGATATCTTTTACGTACGATTCTAATTCTGTTAATAAGTTCATCTTATCTTAAAATCTTGTCTTTGTTCTGCCCGACCTTGACCGTAAGAGTAAGAGTTTAAGGTAGAGAATGATTTTGTAAAGCGTAAATATCTCGAAGGTACATACTTAGCATGCAGGAACTGTTTCTCGTAACTTAACGTGATTCGCTAGCTAAGCGAGAAATGATGACGATGCATCAAGATTGACAACTTAGTAAGGATCACCTTCATAAGCTGGTGACCAATGAGTCACTCTGATCTGAGCTAGTTCCCAAGGCAGTAAGTTGTGTTAAAGAAAAAGGAATAAAAAAGAATCAACTTTACAGAAGAGTGTTGGAAAAATCTTCTAACAACTTCTCTCCTTCCAAGATAATATCCATTTAAGCAGAATCTCATGTTTTAACCGAACTTATCAGAAGAATTACTGCTCTTCCCTGAAGACCCAATATTTGTTTGAGAAGAACTGACGTCAGTTTCTGAGTCTTCTCATGAGAATTTTTTTCCTTCACCCAAGAATGAATATTCGTTTTTAAATTGATCGTTCTTCTCCAGAGATTGACTTTGCTTCTGTGAAGAATCACATTCAAAAGCATTCTTGCTCTTCTGAGGTCTCAGAATGTTCGGAATATTCTATTGAGAATGAAGAATCCTATGCCTTTAATGGGTTTCGTTGAGTTGTTAATAAATTACACTGAAAATAATCTCGTTTCATTTGGTTTTATTTTTTAAAATACAATCAACATAACATAAAATTAACTTCCATATTCACAACAACATGATGTGTACATAAAATAATCAATGCAGGACTAAACCAACATTTACAGTACCGAAAACATTCACATTCAACACATCTCATTCTTTGTATCTCGGTGAAATAGTATCATATCACTTTTAAATGATACCACATTTTTTTGTTCTATAGGAAAGCCGTAGGAAATCCTGAGTCTTAAAATGCAAGCCGTTCTTGGTCGCCAAAAGGGGGGCAATGGTCCCAGGCGTTCCTTGCGTAAAGCGCGGAAACTGGGGATGAGAGTGAGACAACTTCTGTTATCAAGTGCTCGCTCTTCGTATACAACATAATGCTGTGTTCTGTGAAGACCGCTTTGCAAAGTTTCCCGTCTTATACGCTCATCTCACATGCCAACGCACACGCCGTTCGTGGTAGGCCCACATTAAATGATGTCAAGCGTTTTCGGAATGAGCCGAGGAGACAGAGACGTCCCGATTTCTTTGAGGGAAGGTAACGGCTGTACACAAGCTAATAAATATTGTTTTTCACACGAGTAATTAAACTGACGGTTGGCACAAATAACTGTCAAAAAGTAGCCCTGGAGTGATCGATAGCGAAAATTCCCCACCACAGGTCCCGACTGTAGTTTCGTATAAATTTTACGAGTGGTGAATGCTCAGGTAAAACGCTCGACACGAAGCCGGAGTGAACGGTCCTCGAACGTCTAGTTAACATACAATTCACATAAAATATAATTAACTTACATATTCACAACAACATGATGTATACATCACTGAGATTATCAATGAACAGCTATATCAACATTGACAATTTTTAATATTTGTCTACATGTGTGATTCTTTGTGTATTAGTGACATATATAATTCCCAGATCATGCCCCATACCATTCAGTGATTGTTACAATCTGCAACAAAGCAGTTGTTGTTCTTACATCAACGAATTAATAGCATGCCAATTACAACCGCTAGTCCTTTCCTATGATCCCCTCTCTCACTGAGCAATCCGGTACTTTTCTGTTCACAAACATAATTGAAAGGGGAAGTGGTATGCTTAATTAAGAATCATACAAATCGAGCTTTTGTTGCAAATTGAAGCCTTCAAGTACTGTACATTCTTCGGCCCCAATCAGTTGTAATTTATCTTAACGAAATCGCATCGAAAACAGGAATTAAACATAAGTTACTTTATTTGACGACAGAAACCAAAACTATTTACTGTCGTATTTTGTCGCGTACAAAGGTTAGATGGCAGACAATAGACAAAGATGGCCGCTGAACTGTGCACGTGAGGTTCTTAAGATTATCACGGGCTATCTGAATAAAAACGAGCTAACCCAACAAAAGGACCTCACATTGCATGGAAATCGTCTGTAATATTGAAAAGATAGTGTCAAAACATGCATTCTAATTCGCGTTGAAAGTGCAAGTGCTGTAGGTCACGACATTGTTGTTTGCAGCGACGTGCAAAACAGATTCGAATGAAAGAAATTTAAAGTCTCTTTTGGAACTGCTCAAACCTCCAGATTAGTCTTTCGCTCGCAAAGTAAAATACTTTGGTGTTGTGAATTTTCACACGAAAATTAAATGCAAATTGTCGCGGCTTCGACATCATTTTTGCTTTCCCAGGGAATCGCTCATGTAGCTACTCCACCGCGCCGCTGTTGTGTCGCATAACTCAACAGACTTTATCACATAATCAGGTCTTTAATTATCAAAGTTACAGGCAAAAAAGTTAACTTAATAAAACTTTGGTTATGAGAGATTCTGTTTCTTATCTTATGAATTATGAAATTTCGATTCTTTTTGTAAGGTTTGCGATTGAACACTCTTTCCAGAAGAACTCTCTACCTATTGCCTGCCAAAAAAATTCTCGTTCTTTAGAAAAGAATTCCCGATTCTTGTGGTAAGAATTCCTAAAATGGGGATTCTTCTCAACGTATTCAGATGTAATGCATTCTTACCAGAAGAATTCTCTTCTATTCATACTTGTTGCAAGAACTTCGATTATCCTTGAAAGAATCGCAATAAAATGATTCTTTTGATGATAATTTTGGTTCGTAATAGGAGAAAATGTTATTAGGGGAATTAAGAGTGATATGAATATCAGCTTGTTATTGCCTATACGCTCTGGTTAAAAAATTACAGGTCATTGTTTTTGTTCATGCTATGTCTTACATGGCTAACACATCGGCTTGTTGTCGCCAAATAAATAAGCAAAAGTAACTGAAACACCGGTAAAACCCAAATAAAAAACAGAAAACGAAATACCAAGACACTTATTTAAATGCCAACCGTTTACCTTGAGAAAAACTACGACAATTAACGCAGAACCTATGAGCAAAAAGGATGTGTAAATCAAAGCAACATCCTCTAAAACAACGTAATCTACATTAGCTACGATCGTTGTCTTCAGTAACCAAGGCACTCCAAGGCACAACAATATGTCGAATGTGTTACTGCCGACTGCATGGGACACTGCCATATCCCCTTCCCCTTGCCTTGCTACAATTAAGCTCGAAATAGCTTCGGGGATGCTGGTCATCGCTGCCAGTAACGTGAAACTCATCACGACATCTGGAATTTCAAGAGTGAAGCCAATGATTACCACCATCCAAACCAATACGTAGGTGAAAATAGCAACCCACAGCACTGACATAATGAACGAAAACAAATACCAATTTTCCCATCGCTCCTTGCGGCAGTCAGGAATTGTCACGTAAAGTAAGCATGTGATTGGTAATGAAACCAACCACAGAGTTTTATAAAAGAATCCTTGTGGCAATGAGAATGGTGAATCGTCAAACTGGTCAGTGATTTCAACTTGTTCCTCTTCTTTCTCTCCTTTTTCGGATCTCGAGAGGTTGGCCATTTGTGTGCTGTTTACGTAGTCGTTTTCTAAAAGGAGGCTTTTCTCATCACTACCATTTTCAATGTCGGTCTCAACCCATTCTTCGCTTCCTGTGAACTCGTTAAAGCAACGTCGAAAGGTTGAGTTGAAGTAAATAATAAGCACATACAGCAAGTACATAATCACCAGCGCGAATGCTTCATACCAGTAAACCTTTTTGTCCCAAATAACAACGATCAATGCCATTACACTCAAAAGGAAAGCAAAGCTGTCTCGCAACAGAGGCCACGATCTCAAAGGCAATACAGAGCCAGCAAACAAACCACAAATTCCTACTATAAATAAAACATTGAACTGCAGACTTCCTAGTATGGCTCCGGGGCCAATTTCGCCATCTGTAATTAAAACTGCGACCAGTGCGGTGAACAGTTCGGGGGAAGAGGTCCCTATAGACATGAGAGTTGCACCGGCTACGTCAGAACTCATATGAAGCTTGTTTGTGATTTTTTGTAGAGAAGGAACAAAGTATACGTTACAGACCAGCGATAATGCGATCGTCATGTAAATGACCATGAGAAAATGGAAAGCAACTCCCCCCTGACTTTGTCGCTGGTGTTGAGTCATGAAATCGCTTGGGAAGTCATCTATAGACGGCCTTACGCATGGCGATGATCGAGTTAAATTCATCATGTTCAGCAACGCTAGTTGGACCGACATTGCGATGTGACCAGCTCCGTCTTAAAATAACTTTATTGTTTATCACACCGAGAATAAAACTCCACGGACCTATAGCCATGGGATACTCAGCTGATTAACGTGATGTTCAAAACAAATGAGTCCTGACGTGAAGGTCGAGCATGCTCCATCACAAGCAGCCCAGGCCCCAGCTGTAAGATGATCATGACAGTTGAACTCCGATAACTGGAACCCTCAGTAACTCGAATTCCCTACGAACTCTAAGCAAAACTGGTTTCCCTTGGATTTGCCTTAAATATTTACTGTAATTTTAACCCCTATCGCTCGAAACCCCGATAACTCGAAGCGACCTTTACTTCCCTTCAGGCATTTTTCTTTGTAAATTTACCCTCGATAACTCAAAGTCGATTTTCACTTTTGCGGTCTAATGAGCCATGACATTTTGCACCGGAAGATTAAAATTAATCACATACATATATCATGACAAATTGAACTTTGTCGGTATCATTTATCGTTTTTATGCTCTTATATTGCCTGAAATCTTACAATAAAACGTGAATAAGCATAAAACCTCTTTAATCAAGTGTTTCTGGTCTTTTTGTCCAAAATTCCTGTTGCTCGAAACCCCGATAACTCGAAGTAATTTCCCTCGGCAGTTGGAGTTACCGGGGTTCAATTGAAAAAGAGTTTGTATGGGAATGTTTACAACCGCTCTAGGAGTCGTAAACCTAGAAATGGATTACTCACTAAAATGACTCGTTGCAACAAAGTAAGCGGTCGCAAAACAAGCAATGCACTGTGAAAGAGTATGGTGAGGTATTTATTGAGAATTTTTCCGTCATCTCACAGTTGGAGCTTGAGCTGCCTGTGGCTCTACTTCCTATTTGAAAAACCATGCTTTAAGTCCCGTAATTTTTCATCACTGGAAATAATGGGAAGGAAGCAACTGAGATTCACTTATTAGTTGCCATCGAGCAGTTATTTTAGCCATTCAGGACCTCTTCATATGAGCCCAGTTGACCGGGCTGGCCCGCTTACCGGGACGAATTTCGCCTTGGGTTCATCCCGGTTGGAAAAACCGAGATCTCGGTAACCGAGCCAGACCGCTCTCTCATATGAACACATCGAAAATTTTACAAAGGATTTAGAGGTAAGGCGAGATATCGGAAACCGGGCCAGCCCGGTCAACCGGGCTCATATTAAGAGGCCCTCATTCAAAACATTGCCATACGACACGAGTACACAGACACACTCGCCCTCACACACAAGGAATTCACGTGCTCATGATTCCTCCGGGCCGTTGTAACAACTTAGCATTATTACTAATATCATTAAAAAATTTTTTACAATATTAAAAACACAATGCTAAAACACTAATAAATTACTTCTAATTCCGAAATACTACTTTTACACTGTCAATAATGCCATACTTACATAAATTGCCATAGTAATTTTTAACCTCACAGGTTCAGTACATTGGATTACAAAATATAATTCACTCCGTCTTCTGAACATGCATAAACATTTTCGTGTAGCCTAAATTTTATCAGGCCGACTTACGAGTGGGAATACGTTTGCTTTACATTTTCTTAGTTTATAGATAATTGTCAGGAACAAGTAATTTCCCATTGTTTTCTCTTGATGAGTGTTAGTTCAGTTAAAACGGCCAGCTGTCACGGGTGTCCCTCGTGGTTCGCATCCGATTTCTCGATTTGTTGATGGTTTGCTTAGTGCTAGCTTTTATCGTTGTAAAGGTCGCTTCATTCAGCAAAGCTAACCAAGCCTTTGAATGAACCTCATCCCTAGTGACAAGTATTATCACCATCAAATAATTTTTCTCCTTCATTCTTACCAAGGGGCGTCGTCGTTATATTTTGAGTAGTTTAGGCGTGAGAGAATTTTGCCCTCAAACAAGAGAAACCCTGACGAAAAACCTTTGAAAACATTTGTCTCGAGTTCTCAAAACCCCGAAAAATCACTCGAGACAACACAGAAAAACGAAGCTAAGTGAACTTTATTTATCTGACTGTCACTAAGCGGATTTTGGGGATGAAATGTTACGATTTGCGAAATTTATGAAACATTTCTCGGGATCACTTGCGTCTTGCCGAGATCGACCGTTGCAAGTTACAAACGATGTAAGAGTTCAAATGACGTATCAAATAACTGACGTCACGCGGCCTCAAACCCACAGGGCTGTCTGCGTGACGCTTTTATGAATTAATCATTTGCTTTTTCTCGAGCTTGGGGCGTCTGTGTAGTAATTTGGATGATTTGTTCTGGGCACCACGGTGGTGGTGAATTGTTTATCAAAGGTCAGATTACTTATTACTTAAGACCAAGATTCGTTTATCGTGATAATTTAAGTGCTTATCGTTTGAGAAATACCGATAACAAACTAGTTCCTCCACGACCTCGAATTGATTATCCCAAGAGAAGTTTTTCGTATGGCGGAGCTCGGTTTTGCAATGACTTACCTATAGACCTAAGGCAAGCATCTTCATTAACCGATACTAAATTAAGTCGCCAAAGTTTTAAGTAATATTTTAAGTGAAAGTAAATTTTTAGTAGTAGGTAGGTAGATAGATAGATAGTCTGATATCTCAATTGACTGATGGAAATACCGCGAATAAATTAGTTATCGTATCGGTCCACCCCCCCCCCCCCCCAACCCTAGCCTGAGAGCAGGCGTAATTTTGGCGAGCAAGTATTTTCTTAACGAAAATTGTGGCCGCCATCTTTGGCTTTGATGGCAGCGGATGGTTAGGGAGAGAAAGAAAGGTCAAAAATAAAGAGAGGGATGGGGGTGGGGGAGTGAAGATTCTCGTCCTTTTCCCGCCCCTTTCCCCCACCGTCCGCTCAAACTCCAATTCAAACATGGCCGGTCGATAAACAATCGCAAGCTCATGACTTTACCTCGCACTAATAAGACACCTACACGCAGATTTCGGTTCCTCCCGAATAATAATAATAATAATGTGTTCCCCCAATTCTTTTACCTCCCTCCTCCCACCCCCCTTGTTCGTAAGGCCACGTATGACATAGCGCTTACTATCACGGGGATTTCCCTTTTCGATATGATGCATGGAAGACGTTTAAGGTTCCATTTCTTCAATAGTATTTCCTTCACACTACCTACGTACTGAAAAATTAGCGCCATGCGATTCGAAAGGCAGCATTTTCATACATGCAGTTTATTTTGGTGTGCTTTTAGTGATGCTTTTATTTAGGGCAAAGCCCTTAACCCTTTAACTCCCAGATCAAATTTGTAATTCTCCTTACTGTCAACCATACAATTCTTATGATATTAGTTCAGAGAAGTTAGTATTGGATCAACTTATTATCCCCAAATTGATATTTTTCTTTATTCTCATCACTTATCTGGTTGATATTGTATTAATATTGTAAGGAGAAATTCTGTTTTGGTCACTCATGGGAGTTAAAGGGTTAATAAATTTAGCGCCTTTCACCACAATACCAGCTGGGTTCTCTGATTTATGCGAAAGTAGACGATTGACCTAGCTGCTAAACTATGGAATTCCTTGCCTAATGGTCTGAGAGTTTGTGAGGATTTATTTATGAATTTAAGAGGAAAATTCTCAGTTTTGTTAATTTTGACATTTAATATCACAATCATTTATCTTTATATCTATTGTAAATTACATCATCGTTTATTTTATCCTATATTTTATTAATGTATTATTTGATAGGCATTTAAATTTTATAATCTTATTAGAATTTGTATTTTCATTGTATTTTATTACATTTAACACGAAGACATTAGCTTTTGTAACTACACTCAACTTTCGTGTTTAAATTAAGTCTATGTATGTATGTATATGGACACGTCAGGTTCTTAGCAGCATTGCCATATAATAGGATGAATGGTGCTTTCTTTTCTGAGCTAGAATACTACATTATATCACTGACGCACGAAGAACCAACGGTCAACAATGGTATCGGAAACTTCATTCTTAATGTGATTTCTCAGTAAACAGTAAATCGGTCACAAAGAGGAAATCAAAACGCACGAAAGCTAACTTAACATATCAAACATACGCTAAACATCCACCTCTACAGACTTTCGTGACATATCACGCAATCCGGAGTCAGTCAAAAACACGCTAATTTTCGAACATTTTCCTCTTTTTCGTGTATTCCATTTGAATCACTGTTTTTCTTACCTTCAGCTTATAAAACTAAAATATGTAAGATTTCTATACCATTGTATTTGAAGGCAATCATTATGATATCTCGTTCGGGATTTTTTGACTTTTGGTTGGCGATTCAGACATGTCGAAGAGAAGTTCATGCCACGTGCATGACTAGGCCTTGATTTATACATGTACTATGGGTTCATAGGCTATCATAGGCTCTCATCACCACACTTGTTGGCAAGGATAATTGAAACCGCAATGAAAATTGGGTAAAAGAAAAGAAAAGTTACTCCAAGGCACTTGTTTAGATTCCATTTGTTTACTTTAGTCAAAAGTGGTACCACCAGCACGGCTGCAATGAGAATGAACAATACGTAGATCATACCGCTGTTTTGGACCTCAACATAGCCTGTGGAACCTTCAAGTAAGCTCTTCGCTAACCAAGGCAGTCCAAGACACAGCAAAATGTCAAATATATTGCTGCCTATGCAGTTGGAAACAGCCATATCGCCATTTCCTTGTCGGGCGACAATTAGGCTCGATGTAACATCTGGACCACTGCTACCTGCTGCCAGGACTGTCATGCTCATGATGACATTTGGAATACCAAGGGTGAAGCCAATGATTGACACCATCCAAACTAAAACATAGGTGAGCAATCCAATCCATGTCATGGATATAAAGAAAGAGAACAAATACCATTCCCCCCATCGTATCTTTCGGCAGTCGGGAATCGTCATGTAGAACAAACACGTGATTGGTAACTTAATAACCCACCAAGTCTTGGATATGATTCCCCGAGGCACAGAAAATGGCGAATGATCGACACTTTGATTACTTTCTTCGGTTTCGTTTCCTTCTCTTCTGCTCGATAGTCTAGTACTATTTTGACTATTGGTCATCAAAAGCGATGTTTTTTCATCAATTCTTTCCCCAAAATCATTGTTAATTTGCGTTTTGTATCCTGTCAATTTTTCATAGTATTTTTCTAGAGTTGTGTTGAAGTACATGACAACTACATACATCAGGTACATAGTCACCAGCACTAATGCTTCATACCAGTAAACTTTTTTGTCGTGAGAGACAACAATCAAGACTGATATGCTCAAGACGTAACAAACGCAGTCACGCAACAGAGGCCATGGCTTCAAACGCAGAACGGTGCCGGCGAACAAACCACAAATTGCCACCACGAATAGGCTATTAAATATTCCAGATCCGGCTATTGCTCCTAAGGCAATTTCGTTCTTCGTGATGAAAACACCGATTACTGAGGTGAACAATGATGGGACAGAGCCTCCAGTAGCCAAGAGAGTTGCACCGGCGACATCAGAGCTTAGGTGTAGCTTCCTGCTGAACTGTTCTAGAGAAGGAATAAAATAGCCATCGCACACCATGGCCAACGCAGTAAAGATATAAGCGGCTAAAAAAACATGAACAAAAAGTCCACCATTCTGTCGCTGGTACTGCGTCATGAAATCGTGTGGGAAGTCATCTACGGAGGGTTTGTTGTTATTTGAAGTTAAGTTCATTTTAGTTTGTTTTCCTTGGTTCTTCGAGGTTTTAGTCTTACCCAATTCAGTTTCTTAGGAGGAGCGATAAAATTTTGATTCTCTTGCCACTGAGAGGGAGGATGGAACATGGAGAGATGACGCGGAGTTCACGGAAGTTGCAAACCAGATCATGAACGGACAAAAGCAGATTAAAACCTTTCCCCTCTGATTCATTTATCAGCGAAATGCATGGGCAACTTCCACATCTAGGAAAAAAACAAACAAAAATCCTGTTGAAAAGTGTGACGAGTAAGATATTTTGGTAATAGAAGCGATGCACGTGAAGAGCATAAGGGCTTCAAGAAGGTCTAAATGGGGGGATATTCATGTCGGTTGTCGGTTAGAATTCATTACTTTGTCGGTGACTCAAGAAGTGGGGAGAAACACTCGACTACTTCTCTTGGTTCTCCCTACACTTCTTTCGTGCTCTAGCCACTTCTTGCGTGCTTTATAACAGAACAGAGCATAGTCAAGGCTTCTCTATTTGATAAAGATAACAAGAATTATATGTGGCCGTGATAGCTGAAAAACGAAGGTAATCATCAAGATTCTGCCTTGTGCAAGGTGACAACATGCTAACATATGGCCACAAAAAGACGGCAAAAATGTTTTAGGACATAACAAATTGGGAAGCAGCGCAAACTGTTTGTAATTAGTCGAACGCGGGTTTTCTTCAAGTTAGAAGGTTAATTAAGTTCCAAGCGTCCCATTCAAGGTCTCAACGATACCCAACGTTATTTCCTGTAATAAAAAATCAATTACACTAGGCGAAATACCTTGCTTACGCCGCTGTGTTTTCGGTTCTGCCCTTGATTTCATCGATATGCTCATACTTTCGTGATGTTAAAATTTTTCATGTGACTTTTGTTCGGACTCACGAGACAAGAACGATGCGCACGTGTTTATTCACATCTTGCGTGTCCGTTGTGGTTTCCGGCGTCCTCTGCCGTAGTAAGTTTCTTTTGCCATCACTGTTATTCCTGTTATAAGACAACGGACACACAAGATGTGGGTAAGTGTTTTTTGATTGATTTTTGATTTTACAAATTAGCTGATTGACATTTGATTTTAGCCTTGACTGACAGTCGATGGCGCAATCGTTTAAGAAAGTTTAGCATGAGACCAAATAACACGTTTTTCAGTTGTGAAAGAGAAAGTACTGTTCCTAGCTGACGGAGGGGGACGGGGGTGTGAGCCTGGGAGAAGAGGAGGCGGGAGGGGGCGGGAGAGGGCGGGAAGAGGGAGAAGAGGGGGCGAGAAGCGTGATCTATATGAGGGCGGGAAGTGGGAGCAGAAAGAAAGAAGGCGATAATTTGTTGTTGATTACTGGGTATCATCCAGTCAAAAACACTCATCTAGCAAAGTTTTAAAATTTCTATTTAACATCCTCCAATGCTTTAAAGAAAATGCTGGAAGCAAGAAAACGTAAATTTGTACTCGGGTTGGAAAAACAGCATTAGTTCCAGTGAGTCTGGAAATCCCTTCAATTCGACTCGGCGGAAGAAGAGGCTGTGACCTCCAGTCGGAGGACTTCAGTGTGGTTTTCCCGGCGCATGCAAGACTTCTTCTGACCTTAAAACTTTCCGCAGAGGTTTAAAGAAGATTACAACCTATCGAACAAATCTGATAATCAGCCGAACAAGAATGTTCAATCATGCTTCACTAGCACTTAAACCGAACGCTCAAAATGTAAATGATTAAACAATTGATGTGCAGTGATTTAAATCATCCTTTGGAGTCAGCTTTTTTATTCGCTCACGACAAGCTACGACTAGCTGCTTACGTCAAAAAGGGAAAGCAAGCACAGATACAGAAGAACCTATATTAAATTACAATACCATTACATTACACAGTGGAATGAGACTTTCGTCTCTATAACGAGATGTCAGAAGCGATGGTCAAACTGTGATAACCAGATTAGTGAAACCTAGTTTAATTAACAAAACTGACCGGTAATAACTTTCATCGGGACCCAATGATCCCCCCGCCAAAACAAAGGCCAGAAATGAACAAGAATGTTAAATTTTGGCACAGTTGAAAGTTAAACCCGGGTTTCTGAGTCGGGAGGCAAAGGGGCACAAACGTATGGGAGGCGGGAGAACGTGGTACAGGAAGCGGGAGACTCTGACCCCCTGTCCCCCCACTCGCTAGCTAACCAGTAGTTTTTCTGCTGACTCGTTTCCTTCCCGTTTCGCTGACCTGTTCTGTAGTAATTTCTGACAGGATAACGGTACAGAAGTATCAAGAAGTAAGTAATTTGTTTTCTAACCAGTTTGATGTTCAGTATCGTAATTTCGTATTTTCCGCATGTAATTTCGTGAATCACTCGCTGATAGATTTCCTAAGAATTATGTATTGTCTCTTACAGATCGAATGAAATCAAAGAAACTATACGATTCCTATCCAGTCAATTACTCGATAGCCACTTTATCCCCGGACCAGTAAGTTTTAAGGATTTTACGTGTAAAATGTTCGTACTTCTAAATATTCATCGTTGTAAATCGACCATATTTCGTTCCCCTTACTATTCCTTGTAACGTGTTCAATTCTCAACGGTTCCTTTCGCAACTTAACACCGAGTTATACAACGCGTGACGCTTTCATGAATTAATCGTTTGCTTTTTCTCGAGACGAGAGCTTGGGACGCCTGTGCTTAGATGAGTTAACATCAACAGGATTGCGTCTTCGCAAAATCCCAGCTTTCCCATCCATCGTCAGTGCTAGCAAGATCGCCTCTAATTCCCGGTAGTTTATCTAATGTCATAGACACATCCCTTCAAGGTTCTCCGTGAGAGGCATAAGCCCGGACACAGCGAAGTTCCTCCCGTCCCTGAAACGGTTTATTGCAAGACAGGGCCGACCGAAGACGCTGTACTCGGACAATAGACGAACGTTCGTCAAAGCAGCCAAGTGGCTAAAAGGGGTTCAACGAGACAAGAGAATGAAGAGATTCCTCGAGCTTCTTGAGATCTGGTGGCACTTTAACCTTCCCAGAGCACCACAGTGAGGAGGCCAATTTGAACGTCTTGTCGGTGTTTTCAAGCGGGCCTTCAACAAGACCGTCAGAGCAGCAACGTCAAAAGTTTTAAAACATAGCTGATTGACACTGAAATATTTTTGAAAACGTAATTCGCCTAGCTAAACCTCCCAAACTAAACATTATCCAACCCACCGGATCCTGGGGCGCTTGTGATGATTGCGTGGGTAATTTGTCACAAAATTCCCAGTAAACCTTAATTTGTTTAGAAAATTCCCTCTAAACCAAGGTTTATGATTCCAGCTCGTTAATTCTAGAATATGGCTCATTTCCTCAGTAAAAGGAGATAAGATCTGAAATTCTTTCAGGAATAGCAATCTTTCTTGCATATCCCTTGTCTCACTCTCTGTCGATCCGAGCGGTTAATTTTTAGGTACAAACAGGAGCCCATTACTTAGAGATGGTTGAAAAACCGACCATGATTTTAAAATATTTCAAAACTTCCCAATCTGTTTTCTTGATTTTAGAGTTTTGATATCCTGATGGTTGCCACGGTTTGCGAAGTCGTTTCTGACTGAGAGCTCAAAGTACACAGGTAATTCGCAAGTAAAAACAATACAAAAGTTATACGTGTACATCAGTCGTGGGTCAAGGATTTCGCAACTCTCCCTCATAGAGCAATCGACTCCCGCTGATAGTAATTACCCGGCAGACGGACAGTCGACTTAAATAGAGCATGAACACTGCAACATCAAAGTTAAACACTTTCACTTCCAGGAGTGAGTGGACCGAAAAGGATTTTCACCTTGTAATAAATCGATAAATTTTCGAATGGAGAGAAGAGAGGAACAAGTTGAGAATATTGCTTGATTCAACACCAAATTCTTGGAGCTGAGGTCATAAGAAATGTAACGCAAACAGTGTGGAGAATTTCTATTTAGAACTCGGGATTGAAAGGATTTAAGCCGCAAGGCAAACTTGTTGACAACTAAAAAATGTTTCCTGAAATGATCCTAATCACGTGAGCAATAGTAACAAACAACATGTTTGATATCGCGTGACTTAATTCCGCTGTTCCAAAGGAAGTGATAACAGCTCTTATCAACAGTCAATTAATTTCATTAACGTGAAAGGTCTCGTAGTAAAAAAGAGACATTTCCCGTGAGATTGTTTGGCAAAACATGACTTCAGAAAATATCTTTGCGATTGTTTAAAAATCGTTGATTTGGTGAAGTTGCCCTTTTCTCATATTCCTGATGATAGCGATGAAAGGAACTGCTTTTGAAAAGAGAGCAAGAAGACCAAATGAGCGACGATGAGAAAGATCAGATCAATTAGTTGTATCCCATAGAAAATAACATATAGTTCAGTTTTTATGGGAATTTCCAATACTTCGGTGTGTGCTAATTTCCTCTGACTGTGATGAATTTCGCTGGGAAGGAAAAGCTGATTTTAGAGCATCTAACTTTGTTCGACCTCTCCCTGGCTGTTATCATGTGGCTTTCATAGCGTAAGTGTCACAATATAGGGTTATGGATTAGCGATATTTAGCCAAGCCGCTGTTCTCTATTTTAGTTTAAGTGGGCACTACCCCATTTGCGTATATTTCTTTCTCGCCCCTAAGCCTCCTATGTCTCGACGCTCCATGATGGAGGACATGATGAGCGATTTTCTCGTCAAAAGTTACATATTTTCTGCTGGGTTTTTTTTTATGACGCGACAAAGCATGTAATGCGTCCTAAGGTCACCCGTAAGTCGCAAACAAATAGCTAGCTCACGTTATGCACACGAGAAAAGCAGAAACGTGGCATCTTGCTACATTCTTGATACTAAGAGCGTGATAATGATCATAAGTACGTCAGACTGTTTAAGCGCAGAGTTTAGGAATCCCCGGGGGTTTCTTTCACTCAAAGCGAACGAACTTAGTCGTCTGGGGGGGGGGGAGGGGGGGAAGGGGTAAGAAGCACTCAAAGGAGAATTGGATGAGGGTGTTGCACCATCCCTGTCCCTCTTAAGGGAAAAATAAGTTAATCTCGCTACCCAGTGTGGCGCCACGTCAGGCATTTTCAGACAAAATTTTAATTGCCTATCGACAATAATTACAGTTGACCAACCTAGCTTGCCTATTGAAAATAAAAATCTAAGGCTCAATTTTCCAACCCTAAGTGGGAAAGTGGAATTTACTAATCTGGCCAGTAAGCTCTAGTTCATGATATAATTTTCTCTATCAATAGACTTAATGTGAGCACCACATAGATATTTTAAAAAAGCTTGTCAGTCAACACCATGTCTAGTCTCCCTCGCAGCCGTTTTTGGATGTCACGCAACGTTTCCCCAAAAGAACCGTTGTTTTGAGGGAACGTTGCGTGACATTCAGAAAACGGCTGCGAGGGAGACTTATTTTTTATTTATTTTATTAAAAAATATTTAAGGAGGGAGCCCAGCTCGCCATAGCGGTTTTCAGTGAGGCCCTCAAAATTAACAATATATAAAATAAATAATCGCGTAATTAATAAGTAAAAGCATAACAGTGGGAACTATGAAATATCTAAAACAAGATATAAACAGAAAATAACAAAATCGATGAACAAGAGATAATACACTAAACGATACACTTCACCTTGATAGTCTTTTGCAAGAAATTGTCTACTTATTTTTATGATAAGTTCAGTGCTAATTTAATATTGTAATTATCTTATTTCTGTCATGAGTTTGTAATCAGTCTGACACTGATATTTTAACTAGGTAAAATTAATAATTAAGGCGGCTTATATTAAGGAATCTTGTCTTCTGTTTGAAGTTGTCCTCAAATTGACTGAAGTGACTTGTTCAATGTAATTAATTTGGAATTTGTATTAAAGTTCAAATCATCTTCTTTAGCAGGGCAACTCTGGGGCCAACGTAGGGTGGAAGGGCAATGGTTACACAGATAAGGCAATACCGAAAAAAAAAACCACCATAGTTGCCTAATGTTGTCTCACACAATCTGTATCAAATGCAAAAAAAAAAAAAAGAAAAACACAATCTCACACAAACCAAAATTGTTCATCTGTGATGGAATATGTTATTAAAATGTTTTAATAAGTATGTATTTAAAATATCAAGTGACCGAATATCCCCCAGCTAAACTGAGTGATATCTGAGAATATCAGCCAAGTGATACTCCCCATTTTTCAAACCTTATGTCCACTATGGGTTCACAGTTTTCAAACCTTACCTCAACTACAAGCTCATGGTTTTTCCTCAAGCTTCCCTCTTGGAAAACTGTTCGCATCTTGGAACAATTAATGTTTGCGGACAAATATACATACATATTTTTACACCAAATAGAGGCTATTGTTAACATAGATATATTTATATATATATATGTGCTGTCGATATCCTCATCACTATAAGTACATTTTTCACAAAATTTCTTAATATCAAATTTTTGTTGGACAATATTCTTACAATGATGAATACATTACTGAATGAAACATTACATGTTTAAAATTCACTAAATTGCAAATTTAGAAAAAAAAATTAGTCAGAAATCAATCTCTTTTCTTAAAAAAAATTTAATAAAATCAACAATTTTATAATCTTCCTTGGTGTCCTCAAGGCTTTTTACGGGGCAATCAATCATACATGTACATATTGTGAAAACTGCCATACAGAAATCCAAATCAAACAGATTTGTAACATGTTATAAAGTTAAACCTTATGTAACAATCCTCATATGATTACTCTCACAGGCATTTTATGGTAGAAGCACTGTTTTTTCCCTAACCCTCAAACTCCCAGAAGTAATTAACATGTAACTTCTCCCAATAACATTTATACATTACCCAACAAACAAGGAATGAGAAAATTCAAACTTATTAGGCAAAAGTTGTTATCTTAGTCGAACACCAAATTCTTATAACTTATATAAAAAGAATGTGTTACACTTAGGATGGAAGATTAATAATCACATCAGGGGAGTTAAAGGGTTAACAACTTAGTTAACAGACCACCCTTAAATGATGATCATGCTACCAGAACCTGTGTATGGACTTCCTAGAAATATATATAAACTGGATCCTGTATTATTCCATTCCATGGAAATTATTCTAAAATCTTGATGGTTTGGTTTTGAAAGTAAAAACAATGAGACCATACTATACTGTGAAGTTAATTTCTTGATTGCCTTAATGTGAAGGGTATGAATTATTTTTAAAAGGATCACGTAGAATCCAGTTGTTAACATAAAAATGTTTTGAAGGACTTTCCAATTTGAAAATCATTTCAAATATTTGGAATCTCTTTTTCTTTTTGAAGTCTCTCCACTCATCTTTTTATAATTTAACAACAAAATGTTATAATAATGAGATTTCATGTTTAACCTTTTTAAAAGAGTTTTAAAATCTATTCAGATGGTATAATTATTTTGGAAAAAGAAGTGTATAATTTTATGATATAAACACTAGACAATTGTAATTTCTATGTCTAACATGTTGGCAGGTTGTAGTTCCCAAAGAGATTAAGCTCAAAAAGGGTTGCAACTGTGATGAATAATATATATAGCAACAGAAAAGCTATTCCCACGCACTTATTCAAATACCATTTGTTTGTCACTACTAAAACTATTGTGACAAACACAGTTCCAAAGAGGGAAATTGATGTGTAAATAATGCTACCACTTAACACAACAACATAACCTCCAGGGTCCACTGCTGTAGTCTTCAGCAACCAAGGCAGCCCAAGGCACAGTAAAATGTCAAATACATTGCTGCCTATTGTGTTTGAGACAGCCATGTCTCCATCTCCTTGACGAGCAACAATTAGGCTGGATATACCATCTGGCACACTGCTACCTGCTGCCAGGAATGTCAGGCCCATGATGACATCTGGGATACCCAGGGTGAAGCCAATGATGGACACCATCCAAACTAAAATATAGGAGAGTAGTGCAATCCATATCACTGATAAAAAGAATGAGACTAGATACCACTGTTCCCACCGCTCTTTGCGACAGTCAGGTATCGTCACGTAAAACAAACATATGGCTGGTAACGCAAGGATCCAAAGAACGCGGGCAAACAAGCCGGGAGGCACTGAAAATGGCGAATCATCATTCTCGTCAATGATCTTCACCTCTTCTTGTTCTCCAAGGGACGAGGAATCTTCCCCACATTCGTCATCTTCTTTCAGTAATGATCTTTGTTCATCTGCTTGTTTCTTGTTTCTCTCAGCATCAGTGACCACTCTGCCCATTCCCGTCAATTTCGTAAAAGAGTTTTCAAGAGTTTTGTCAAAATACATAATAACAACGTACAACAGGTACATAATCACTAGCACCATTGCTTCATACCAGTAGACATATTGATCGTAAGAGATCGCAATCAGTGCAACGATGCTCAAAAGATAACAAAATGAATCACGCAACAGAGGCCAGGGTGTCAAACGCAGGACGGTGCCGGCAAACAAGCCACACATGGCCACAATAAATAAGATATTAAAAACTGCAGACCCAACTATCGTCCCAAGACCGATGTCACTCTTAGTGATAAAAACACCGATTATCGAGGTAAACAACTCAGGGGCGGAGCTTCCAGCCGCCATAAAAGTCGCACCAGCAACATCAGAGCCCATGTGAAGCTTGTTGGTGATCTGTTCCAGCGAGGGAACGAAGTAATCGTCGCATACTAAGGCCAGTGCTCCAAACATATAAATGGCCAGTAGAAAATGAATTACAACGCCTCCTTGCTTCTGTCGCTGATACTGGGTCATAAAATCGTTTGGAAAGTCGTCTATGGAGGGTTTGACGCAATTTTGTGATGATGCCGAGGTTGTTTCTGATTGCATTCTTCGAGTTGTTTCGGTTGCATCAAATTCGACGGATCGAATCTCTCGAGCGGAACCAAGGTGACCTGAATCGATTTCTTCCGTTGTAAACGATGTTATTGACTTATAAAGTAGACTTGGGTACATATAGCAAGCGAAAAGAACTAGAATTGCAAATCGATTTAAGACGTTTTTTCCACGCTTCATTTCGACACGTAATTCGAGTGTAGAGGGAACTAGAAAATTTTACACGTTCACTGGGAAAGCGTACTCCGAAATCGGGGAGTTACTACATCACCGGCGACGAGCGGGGAAAGAAGGAAATATCGAAATAAGGGTGGTCAGCGGGGAAACGAATTTAATACTTCATATAGGTACATATCAGTTGTAGTTGCAGAAAACAATAGTGTTGTAAAGCCGAAGTGTTAACCAGTATCCTTCGCTAAATAAAATGTTAAGCAATTTTTCAAAAGTGTTGATGGCACATATATCTTTTGCTGCTGTATTAAACAATGGAGGCATCGGAAAAGGCATCGGTGGCATTCGGAAAGGCACCAAGAAAAATTATATTTACGTTTTGTAACTTGCAAAAAACAATCGTGTTGTAAAGCCAAAATGTTACAGGTTATACTTCGCTACTCAAAAAGTTAAGCAATTTTCCAAACGTTTTGACTGGAACAATATTTTTACTGCTATATTAACCAACGGAGGCATCGGGAAAGGCATCGCGATCGGTGACACCGGGAAAGGCATCAAGAAGAATGATATTCACGATATATAACTTGTTGTAGGACGAAAAAAAGTATCTTGACTTGTTTAAGGCGTTAATCACAGTTGGTTTGCTTTTCACTTGAATTTTGCAATCTCGACTTTCCATTCCGGAAAAATGGAAAGCTAAGCAACTCTAAAAAAATTTCGTTCAAGATTTTTATATTTTTAGAGTCATTAATAAGTTTGTATCCACAGCCTAAGATAAGAAAGTTAAAATTTCCATCAGCTGTAGTTCTTTTAGTATTTATTATATATATTCAATCGCCTCATTACACGTGAAAAAGGTATGTAAGAAAACACTTAGCTTCGAGAAACAGCCAAGTGAAGGCTAATGTGTTTACCGTGCTTAAATATTTATAATCAAATGAACTCAGGATGAAAACCGAACGGCAGGTGAAATGTTGTGTTGGTGTCTCTGTCCCCCCACGTCTCTGCGAAAGGTATATCCAGACAACCTGCATGGAAAAACTGACCACAGATATCGCACCAAATTTTTGAAAAAATCTTTAAAACTAGACTGGTGAGCAGCACTCTACGAACAGTAGTTGTAAAATTTCTTTATTCTCCGACGCGTTTCGTCTAACTATAGTAGACTTCTTCGGGGAGTTTTACAATTTAACGCTAAACACCTGTATTTATAAGCCATAGTTAGCGGCTATACGAGGGCCAATGACCATAAAGGCTTGGCCGGACCTACGAATAGGAACAGGAGAAGTTGCAAAATTTTTTGAAAATTTTTTGGGGTAAGGTGGGAGAATTCATTTGGGGACTACGGTTTTGGTTTTCTTTTTTTTGCCACGCACGTCACGCAGCAAGTTACAAAACGTAAATATAATTCTTCTTGGTGCCTTTCCGGATGCCACCGATGACTTTTTTGATGCCTCTATTGTTTATTACAGCAGTAACAGACAAATGTGCCATCAACACTATTGAAAAATTGCTTAACATTTTATTTAGCGAAGTATACTGTTAACATTTCGGCTTTACGATACTATTGTTTTCTGCAACTACAACTGATATGTCTATATGAGGTATTAAATTTGTTTCCCCGCTGACCACTCGTATTTCGGTCTTTTCTTCTTCCCCCACTCGTCGCCCGTGATGTAGTAACTCCCCCGAAATTCGTCAAATGGAGGTCATCTCGGGTAGATTTCCGATTACGAAATCCGAGCTCCCCCGATGTTTTGCTCGTGATAAAGGCCCTATTTAGCATTTTTGACCCGCATAATAGAGTAGAAACGAACATGTACTTCGGTTTTGCTCATGACTTCGTATTAGCGTTAGATATTTGCATTTTTTTTTCGTTGCTAACCTATATTACATACTCCACAAAATTTTTGCGATGCCTCCTTTTCATGGATGGCCGATCACAACTACAGCATAGTGACACCTCCACGAAATCTGTCAAAAAGAGGATATTAAAACGCCAGAGGTCATCTCGGGTAGATTTCTGATGACGAAATCGGAGCTCGCCCGATGTTGTCTTCGTGATGAAGGCCCTATTTAGCATTTTAGAGCCGCAAAATAGAGTAGAAAGGAACACTTACTTCGTTTTCGCTCATGACTCTGTATTAGAGTTGAGATATTTGCATTTTTTATCCGTTGCTAACCTATATGACAGATTCCACAAAATACATTTGACGCCTCCTTTTCACGGATGGCCGATCACAACTACAACGTTATGACATCTCCACGAAATCTGTCAAAAGGAGGATTTTAAAATACCGGAAATGATGTTTTAAATACGAACTATCTTCGCACGAAATAAGGCATTGTAAACAGAAATACCTTTTCTTAAATAAAGCTTTTCAGATAAAACATCTAGGTATATGGTAAACTCAGTAAAAGCAACCACGCCCAAAACCACTAAAAATCTTCTGGATTTCTGATGGAATAAATTTAACGCAATTACGTTTAGAGTTTAAGCGATATATTGTTTTTTTTAATATGTTAATTGATTAAAAAATTGAACATTACCTCTATCGGACGGAGGCTAAGTATGAATATAATGTAGCAGGCGATATTACTTTTGTAGACAAGGATAATCCGTGGCTTGTTTCACCTATTACATGTTCTCTATCTGCGTTGTGCCATGATATCATTGAAATATTTTACGATAATATTTTTACAATATTTAGATGAGGATTTTCAATTCGTACTTAGGGAAAGACCTACAAGAAACAGTTTCTTATGAATACGTTTTAAAATTCTTTTAGCTGACTAGTACTTAGATAAAAATTACTACTAGATATAATTCACTTCGACGATTATCTTAATAAACAATTAATGGGAAGTTCTGAGAATCATTTTGTGATGCTAATGGTTATTTTTCTCTTCCTGCTTTAGGGCTCTTTCGCAGTTTTGGTGACGGTAGCAGTTTCATACTCTCGAAGAATGAACTCTGCTGACCTGACATCCTTCACCAGACCTTGTCTTTCAGACAACTTTCTCTCAAACAATGAACTCACTTCTTGAGAAGTTAATTTACGTGCAATCATAGAATTGGAAAGTTTGTTCAGAAAGCGAAATTATCGATTGGAATACGGCCGAACGCTGAATATGAATTGAGTGAGCAAACAGATACTTTGATATATCAGACGATAACAAATTTCCCGCCTTTGCGAGTTTGGACCATTCAATTGTCTGGGAGTTAATCGACCGTAACATTTATCTTTCCTCTCCATTTCCGGTGTTTTAACATCCTCCTTTTGACAGATTTCGTGGAGGTGTCACTATGTTGTAGTTGTGATCAGCCGTCCGTTAAAAGGAGACAACGCAAAAATTTTGTGGAGTCTGTAATATAGGTAAGCAACGAAAAGAAAAAGCAAATATCTTACGGCTAATACGAAGTCATGAGCGAAAACGAAGCACGTGTTCGTTTCTACTCTGTTTTGCGGGTCTAATATGCTAAATAGGGCCTTCATCACGAAGACAACATCGGGTGAGCTCGGATTTCGTAATCGGAGATCTAACTGAGATGACCTCCTTCTGACGGATTTCGGAGTACGCTTTCCGGGAGGGAGTTACTACATCACGGGCGACGAGCGGGGATAGAAAAAACGACCCAAATATGAGCGGTCAGCGGTGAAACAGCTTTTATACTTCATATAGAGACATATAATTTGTTGTTCCAGAGACAATCGTGTTGTAAAGCCGAAATGTTAACAGTTTACTTCACAGTTTAAGCAATTTTTCAAAAGTGTTGATTGAACTCATATCTTTTACTGCTTTAATAAACAATGGAGGCTTCGGAGAGGGAGTCAGTGGCATTTGGAAAGGCACCAAGAATAATTATATATATGGTTTGTAGCTAGCTGCGTGACGTGCGTGACGAAAAAAAAGTATCATGATTTCCGGTTGTCAAAAATGTCAATCATATTTGGCAGGAACTTGGTTTTCGCACTGTAGTTTGCTTTTCCTGGAAGATTTTGCCATGGATGAAGACCAAAAGCCAACAATGTTAAGAGATTTAGAGATCGACTTTTTGAAAGATCATCTCAATGGCTTTTCTGTTGAAGGCAATTATTGTTTTGGATATTTCGAGGGAAAGATAGATTTTCACGAGCGTCAATGGTGCAGAATCGTAACTTGATGGAGCCAACAGTGGACAACATCCCAGAATTCAAACTTTGTGATTTTTTTCTCGGCTTAAACGCTAAGTCAGTTGTTCAATTGAATAGGAAGAAAAACATTTCGAACGGAAAACAGCATTATTTGCACGTGTGGATCTTTTGAGAAAAGGTCTCCTAAACGAGTGGTCTTGATTGTAAATATTTAAGGAATGGTAAATACATTAGCCTTAACATGGCTGTTTCTCGAAGCTCAGTGTTTTCCTACTTGCCTTTTTTCCACGTGAATTGGGGGCGATTGAATAGATATAATATGCAGTAAAAGAACTTCAGCTGATAGAAATTTTAAATTTCTCATCTTAGGCTGTGGATACAAAATTCAAGTGAAAAGGAAGCCAACTGTGATTAATGCTTTGAACAAGTCAAGATACGTTTTTTTCGTCACACAACAAGTTACATAACGTGAATATCATTCTTCTTGATGCCTTTCCCGGTGTCACCAATGCCTTTCCCGATGCCTCCGTTGGTTAATAGAGCATTAAAAGTATTGTTCCAGTTAAAGCTTGAGGAAAATTGCTTAACTTTTTAAGTAGCGAAGTGTAACTTGGTAACATTTCGGCTTTACAACACGATTGTTTTCTGCAACTACAAAACGTACATTTAATTCTTCTTGGTACCTTTCGGATGCCACCGATGCCTTCATTGTTTATTAAAGCAGTAAAAGATATATGTACAATCAACACTTTTGAATTGCTTAACATTTTATTTAGCGAAGTAAACTGTTTACACTTCGGCTTTACAACACGATTGTTTCCTGATACTACAAATGATCTGTCTATATATGAAGTATGAAAGTTGTTTCACCGCTGACCACTCGTATTTGGGTCGTTTTTTCTATCCCCGCTCGTCGCCCGTGATGTAGTAACTCCCTTTCCGGGAAGGTCATATCAGAACGGCGCGCGCA